CAGGAACACCAGCTGGTTATCAACAAAAGAAAATGCTCGTTTGGCCAATCTAAACTGGAATATTTGGGTCATCTGGTTTCAGCAAAGGGAGTGGAGGCAGATCCGAAAAAGATAGAGGCCATGGTGTCTTGGCCGCGACCTATGAATGTAAAAGGGTTGAGAGGTTTTCTTGGGTTGACAGGGTATTACCGGAGGTTCGTAAAAGGTTACGGTTCAATTGCATAGCCCCTTACTCAGCTACTTAAAAAGGACTCCTTCACTTGGAATGATTCAGCACAATTAGCTTTTGATCAGCTCAAGGAAGCCATGACTACTGTCCCAGTTTTAATAGTTCCAGATTTCAGTCTTCCCTTTGAAATTCAGACGGACGCATCTGGAAGAGGCCTCGGGGCTGTTTTGGTGCAGCAGGCACGTCCTATAACTTTCCTCAGCAAGGCATTTTCCTCGACAGCCAAGCTGAAATCGGTTTATGAGCGTGAGTTGATGGCCATTGTGTTTGCCGTCAAGAAATGGAGTCACTACTTACTTGGCAGAAAATTCATAATTAAGACGGATCAGCGTAGCCTCCAGTTTTTAACGGACCAAAGATCGAAAACTCCGGAACAACACAAATGGATTTCCAAGTTGATGGGTTTTACCTTTGACATTCAGTACTACCCAGGAGCTTCCAACCGAGTAGTAGACGCTCTATCAAGAAGGGAAGATGGGACTAAATTGGCACACTTGTCAGCCTTATCTACGGTACAATTCTCAGAGTTTGAAGACATGGCTTTAGAGACACAAACAGATCCAAAACTCAAGGAAATCATTCAAGACCTTCTCCTTGACTCTTCTAGTTGACCCAACTATCGTCTCTGTAGGGGCTGCCTCTTCTATAAGGACAGGCTGGTTATTCCAAAGGCGTCCAGATTTGTTTCCATATTACTGGCCGAGTTCCATCAGAGTCCTAGTGCTTGGGTTTCTTCAGAATGTACAAGAAAGTCTCTTTAGTAGTTTATTGGGAGGGTATTCGGGGGGATGTACAACGCTTCATCAAGGCCTGCACTACATGTCAACTTAATAAACACTCCTCATTAAAACTGGCAAGCCTTCTCCAGCGCCCCCCCCCCCCCCCAAAATCCTGAATAGGTTTTTGAGGATCTCTCTATGGATTTTATCGGGGGGCTACCACGCGCGAAAGTAGTAGATACAATCTTCGTTGTTGTTGACCGTCTGACCAAGTACAACCATTTCTTTTGTCTTGGTCATCCTTACAATGCAAAGAAGGTGGCTACCATATTCGTGAAAGGCGTGGTCAGGCTCCACGGGTTCCCTAACTCCATTGTTTCTGACAGAGACAAACTGTTTATGAGTCAATTTTGGCAGGAGTTATTCAAGGCCGCCGGTACTGTTTTGAAATTTAGTTCGGCTTACCACCCGCAGACCGATGGGCAAACGGAGGTGGTCAATAGGTGTCTCGAAGTGTATCTCCGCTGTTTCTGTAGTTCTCAGCCACGACAGTGGCCGAATTGGCTGACTTAGGCAGAATATTGGTACAACACAACCTACCACGGGTCCACCCAAATGACTCCCTTCAAGGCTCTTTATGGCCGAGATCCCCCCACCCTTTTAAAATTCACAGACTGCCCTTCAGCAGTGGAAGAGATCCATGTCCAAATAACTGAGAGGAATTCCATGTTACAGGAGCTTAAAGACAATTTAGTTAGGGCTCAAGCCCGCATGAAACACAATGCTGACCTTCATTGGAGAGATGAGTGCTTCCAGCCTGGTGACTCCGTCTTCCTGAAGTTACAACCCTACAGGTTTAAATCACTTGCCCGGAAATTGAATGAAAAGCTCAGCTCCCGTTTCTATGGCCCGTATACGGTTTTGGAACGCATTGGACCAGTGGCTTACAAATTGGATCTGCCACCCACTGCCCGTATTCATTCGGTCTTCCATATTTCTCAGCTCAAAAAGTCCCTACATCAATCGGTGCCCATCCAACCCCTACCGGAATCACTTTCTGAAGACCTGGAATTATTGGTCCAGCTAGATGCGATTCTCTCTGTGCGTACTCTTGTAGATGGATCCAAGGAGGTCCTCATCAAATGGCAGCATTTACCTGATTTTGAAGCTACCTGGGAACCATATGAAGTGATCCACAAGCAGTTTCCTCAGTTTCACCTTGAGGACAAGGTGAATCTTCAAAGGGGGTTGGGGGGGGTGGTATTGATAAACCAACAATACATAAGGTTTACAACCGTAAGGGGCATAATAGACATTAGGAAGGTTGTTAAGGGAGTAGGGTCCACAAGGTACAGGTGTCATGGATGAGAGTCTGTTTTGAGAATATGAATTGTGTGAGTAAGGGTAATTGTGGAAAGGGAAACTATATATAAGCAGAGAGGGTCTAACAGCACTATTATCTTTTTGCATTAATAAAATAGTGGAGGTTCCTGGCTCCTCGAAACGCCAGGGTATTGGGTTACAATCCAAGCATCACATACCATTTCTGTTTCATTCAAGTTCTCAAAATTAATACAAATTGTGCAGAGATTTTATCTGTTCTATTCTTGTGTTTTCTGGTTGTGGATTGACAATGAGTGGGTGAATTGTGTGAGAACTATTGCCTTTTGGTTGTGGGTTTAGTTTGGTTGCAGGTGCACTTATCAGGCTAGTAATGCAGTTTTTTGCAGGATTTTGCTGCAATTGTGCTGTTGCCGATAGTGCTATAGCTTGGTTGAAGATGCAACAGTTTTTGTAGTTTTTGTTTGCTGCCTCCAGGAGAGTTTGCAGCTGCTGTAGCCTGTGCAGTGTGTGCTTCCTTGATGCCTCTGGGAGTGTTTGGCGATTGTGTGGCCTGTTGGTGTTGCTGCTGCAGTTTGGCCTGTTGGTGATGCTGCTGCAATTGTTCTCTACCTTTGGCAGTGTGTGCAGTCTTCGGGTTGTTTTTGCAGCTTGTGTAGTCCATGCTGTTTGTCTGTTTCTATGTTGTGTCTGGGATTTCCAGGTAGCTTGTACAGTGTTGACCATTAAATAAGCCTCAAATATGCGTTGTCTAAACTTGATTTTTGAATCTGTCTATTTGAACTTTCATTTTATTTATTTATTATGAGAAGAAACAGAGAATCAGTTACTTTGATTTTGTTGTTTATGAAGTTGCCATTTCTAATACCTTTGATGTTACTGCAGAGGCCATTCATTTGTTCAGTAGATGATTGCCATGCCAGCTATAGAAGAAAATATCACTTGACTCTCCACCTGCTTCAACACCGAGGGAAATTATTCACCTGTCCAATTGAGAATTGCAATCGTGAGTTCACCATTCAAAATAACATGAAGAGACATGTTAAAGAATTTCATGATGAGGATTCTTCATCCTTTGATGTTAAAGGTCAGAAGCAGTATATCTTCCAGGAAGTTGGTTGTGGAAAAATATTCAAATACGAGCCAAAGTTGTGATGCACGAGGAATCACAAGTTAAGTTATTTTGATTTCAAATTCTTTCTGGGGAAGTTTTTCTTTGTTGTCATTTTAATGTATTTCGTTGTGAATGATTTTATTTTACTTTTCTGAGAATCTTTTAATAGTTTTTTGATATAAAGTTTTGATATATGTGTTTTTTGATATAAAGTTTTGATATATGTGTTTATTACCACAGTTAAGTTGGAATTTCTACGGAGACATTTTGTTTTGAGTCAAGATGTATGAAATACTTGTTCTGAGTCAGGATGCATGAAATACTTAACAAACAAGGAATGTCTTGAGGCACATATTCGGTCCTGCCACCAACATATTACCTCTGAGATATGTGGAAACAGGAAGTTGAGAAAGAACATCAAGCGCCATATTCGCACACATGAGGGGAGCAATTCACCCGAAAGAATTAAACGCACATTCAAGGGTTGTCAGCACTCATTCTCCACTGTAAGAAGCTACTACCTTGGCTTGTCCCTTCTGATTAAATATGGTTTTTTAACATGTTGACTAAAGGCTGAGTAGCTTTTATTTCGAGTCCGGAGTAGGGTATTGCTTTCCTATTCTGATGTTTTCTTAAAGGTGTTATATTTTATCGATTTTTTTCTCCCATAGGGAATTCTATCTGCACAGAAATCAAATCTTCAGCAGCATGTGAAAGCTGTGCACCATGAAATCAGACGTTTTGCTTGCAGCCTTTGTGACATGAGATTCGCGTACAAGCATGTGAGAGACAACCATGAAATGTCTGGGTACCATGTTTATACCCCAGTAAGTTTTACACAAAATTTTGTTGGCATCATTTTAAAAAGGATAAAAACTTGTTACTGAGTATTCTGATTGCTTGGGAATCATGGTGATTTTGTTGCTGCTGATGAGGAATTCAGGTCGAGACCTACGGGTGGCCGGAAAAGGAAGCTCCCAACAGTAGAAATGTTGACTAGAAAGAGAGTGAATGCTCCAAAGTTCAACTGGATCCTGTCTTGTGTATGAAGATTAAATAGATCTCTCTATTAGCTACCATTTGACAAAGTTAGATGTATGCAATGAAGTATTTGTATATTTGTTTAGATATGGATATTTATGTATTGGCACCTAAATTCAATCTGTTTATAATACAAAAAGTAAAATTATAATATTCTATATAGTAAATGCCGTACTTCCACTCTTCTGTTTTCCAATTTGTTGATTTATCTGACAATGATTTCTTTGATCTTTTGTTGATGTGATGAAATCACAGCATATTAGTTGCCTACAACAGGGGTGATCCCTATAATTAGGGACAATTTGGAGAACATAAGGAAATGAAATACATTCTCTCGTTTTTCTTTCATTTTCTCGCATCATAATCTCTCATCTAAATTATACAAAAATCTACGTCGAAGATCTCAGAATCTTCAAATGAGTGTGTTCTTGTGTTACAGACGGCATCACACTTGGTTAAAAGAATTTGATTTGAAGTGCCTTAATACCTAAATCGTGCCGGATATAAACTACCAGAGAAATACAACATTAACGGCAAAAGATTAACTTGACAACTATTTAGTAGTAGATGTTTTATATTTCATAATAACATATATGGATATCAATTACGTCCGGTCCGGAAAATAAAATAACAGCAGCAGAATTTGAGAATCTCAATCACACATCAAGGTATCCAGATTAAACACACAATACACCAACCACTCATACGGATAATAAACATCAAACCCTCCAAGCTATACTTCAGCAAACACAATACGTCATTTAGAGACCGCAATACAATACCGATTTATTCTGCAGATGTAAAAGAAAAAACAAATTAGAAAAATAAAGAATGAAAAGACATGTTAGTGATTTCAACTCCTTGCATTTTGTTTGTTGATGAACTTACAGTAAGGGGTGATCTTCCATCGCTGGTTATCTCCCTTGTTCCATTGCCAGAGCACAATCGTGGTGCCATCATGGACGCCACCAGATTTCTTATCACCATGAAAAGCATCGACATTCAGGCGGATGTTATTAATCATCCTTACAGTTCGGTAACCATCACCTAAGTCCTTGCCCTCAGACCACAATATAGATGAGTCAAGCTCATCTGCATTATAGGGTACCAGCTGTACCTGCAGACAAGTTTTCATGATAGAAAGTTTAGTGCTATATGTCTTGCTTGTGCATAGATGTTCAGTACTTTAACTCTGTTGTTATAACTGGAATCTAAAACTCACTGAAGTAAATGGAAAATGAACAGAAGATTAAAAATCATAATTGTCAAACAAAATATTTTGCAGCATGAGGAATATTTGAGCCACTTTCAACTGATTTATACGAGTTAAATTAACTAGTCACATTTAGATATTAGTCCATAAGAAGATAAAACAATCTTTCCCCAGTACCAAAAACATGAAACGAAGACTAACAATGAGAACTATAGATCCCAAAAAAAACTTGCGGAGAAAAAACATTGAAAAAATTCTGATTCTTTGAGTTACTTTGACACAGCTCAGTGATCAAATCCATTCTCCCTAAAATAGCATTAGGTACATATCAGATACACCATGAAATCTTCCTTTTAGTCATTTGTTATAAAACAAACAGTGCGAAAGACATATTACTAGTAACATTTGACTAATGGGAAATGAAAGTAGCAGAAACCCAAATCCCAAAGAATAAACTTATAAATGCTTAGAGATGTAATAGAATTCTTACAGGATGACTAGCTCCAACAGAGTGCTTCATGGCCTGACCAGTAGCTTTGTTAACCAGAGAAAAGCAGGGGAAGCCCTCTTCATCTTTCACTCTGGTACTGTACTTCTCATCTTTGTACCAATGCTAACAATCAACCAACCACATTTACACATAAGAAAGCAAATCAACATACCCAGAAACATCAATCAGTAATAGTACAGCTGAAATTCAATCAAATTATTGTAAAATGTTATAGTAATATCAATATCATCCACTATTTTAAATTCCAAAGTGGAATAAAAAAAAAAAAAGAAACTTTTGATTAAAAAAAGAAAAAGAATAATTGTGCTCATAAGCAGCAGTAGAACCCTAATCAGAATACCACACAACCTTTTAAAATCCTGACTTAAACTTCTCAATTGAGAGGAGTTTACTGGACAATCGGCATATCAGAATAGCATAAACAAAGAATGAACAACAAAATTGAAAAAAGAAAACTGGGCATAAAAAAAATGATGACATTAAGTTAATAGAAAAGTTGATACCTGGAACTCATCTGAGGGATCGGATGTTGCAAGAATCACCTTACCATCTCTGATGGTAAGGGAGAAATCGGGCCGAGCCTTACAGTAGACTTTGACCGTGGGTTTGTTTGCGAGATGAGAGAGAGAGGCAGAGGCAGAATTAGAGTGAGAATGAAGACCAGATGGCAAATGAGGCTTGAAAGAATGATGTGAAGTCTCAGATTGATATTCTTCGTGAGCAACATGGCTCACTTGAGTTGGTGGTGGTGGCTGTTGGTAATTGAAAGAATTGAATTCTTGCTGATCACTCGTGGGACGGTGATGCACGTGACTCACATGTGTAGATTGTGGTGGTGGTGGAGCATACTCAGGTTCTTGATAATAGGGCCGCGGTAGTGGTGGTGGTGAAAATTCGTTTTCTTGGAAATATGCAGGAGGTGGTGCACGTTGTGGTGGGGGTGCGAATTCGTTGCCTTGATGAAATGGTGGTGGTGGTGCGAATTCGTTGTCTTGATAAAATGGTGGTGGTGGTGGTCGGTTAAAGGGCGGTGGTTGTTCATCGTCTTCGTCTCTCCGGTGGTGGTGGTGGTGACTCTGTGGAAACTCCATTGTTGAGATGTTGGTATTGTTGAAGATCTATTTGTGATAGAAGGACAAGTGTTTGGTTATCATATATATTTGGCAGTTCATGACAGATCATATTTTATACAAATTTATGTAAAAATAGGAAAAAATTGGTGTCATTTAACCTGTCACCATATACATTAACAATTAATAATGATTTTACCCTTAATATAACTAACCTTATAATTTTTTTTTTTTTTAATAATGGGGGGTATTCGGGTTTCAATTAATCTTTTAAAATCTTAAAATTATCGATCGGATAAGAGTTTCAGTAATTAACCTATTAACATTAAAGAAGGGACTCATAAGTTGGACTAATAGGTGAGAATTAAAAACAAATGGTAGTTGTGTTGACAAATTTTTATTTACTTCTATCTGTCCAAATCCCTTCTCTAGGCCTATTGCGACTACCACGAGGCTGGCAGCAACAACGACAGTTAAGATGTTAGGGTTGTTTTGTGATGACGAAGGGTGATAATGTCAGTTTGCATTTGACAGATTTTTGTAATGAATTCTAACAAATTCAGGATTAGGGTTGCATTTTCGAAAACAATGAAATTCAAATCTATTTCGCAATGGGAAGTGTGAGATTCAAAATAAATCCTAGGGTGAATAACAATTTTTTTTTTATAAACTAAAAAAGTTGCGCCCATTTGATTTCTGGCATTTGATAGTATTAGTTGTTCTGACCAATGTCTAATTTGCCCTTTTCCTATTATCTTTAACGTTTAACTTTCATTTTGGGTGGAACTTGGTTAGTTTCTCATACATGGGGTGACAAAATTCTTCTCATCAAATCTAGGGTTGATAATGTAATTATTTTTCTTTGCGCATGAACAATGGTGGGCCTTGTGGGCCGGCCCAAACTATCGTTGCCTCAGCGTAAAATCAAAACAAGAAATTTGAACATATCCATTTATATTTTATTAAAGCTTGAAAGATGTATTTTTGTAAGGGTAAACATGAATGGTTTAATGCCAAATGTGTGGATCCTAAGGGTCCAATTGTGCCATGGCATGTTTATTCTTTCCTGTCCCCTGCTTAGAGATGGCAATGGGCTCTGTATTTCTAGATACCTAGCCAGGCTCGTCTCAAATAGGCCAGACTTTATCCTATGTTAGTGGGCTTGGGCTTAGGCCTGATACTGATTTTAAGGCCCGTCCTCTGGTACAGGCCGGGCATGGGTATATCTTCAGTCTTGGCCCGACCTGATAATTTTACTAAATTACCCTTATACTATATATCTAATTACATAATTATTCTACATATAAAAAAAAAATTGAAATTTATTAATATTTTGTGAGTATTAAAAAATAAATTAATATTTAAAAACTTTGTTTAGAAATAAAATTATAAAAAAATTTGAAATTTATTAATATTTAAAAATTCACATTATAAAAATGGGCGGACTTAGGCAGGGACTGAGATTACAAAAAGCCCGTCGGGTTGGGCTTGGGCTTTACCTGTCATCCTTGTAACCGGCCCAGGCCGGGACTGGGCCTTTGTCATGGGGTCGAGCTTGGGCCCAGGCCAAGGGGTACTCGATCCCGGCCTGGCCCGGCGCATTACCATCTCTACTCCTACTGTTACCACCTTATTGTATAAAGTATAAACCAACAAAACTTACAAACAATTTCTCAACCATTATTACATTCTATATCCAATAAATAACATCAATAATTTTCTTTTGGTTAATCTCAATTCACCCTTTTAATATGTAGTTACATATTAATTTAATAAAATTTAGACAAAATTGGACTTATGAAAGAAATTCAACTCCTTTATTGACATAAAACCCTTTTTTTCTTTTCAATATATATATATATATATATATATATATATATTTTTTTTTTTTTTTTTTTAAACAAGGTATCTGAATCAACTTATACGTACCTTAACTAATCATCGAGACCCATTGAATACCTTACAAGCCTCTGATCACTAGGTGGTTTGAATTCAAGAAGTCAACGAAGGGAACAAAAAATTTTTAACCATCAGGCAACCTTTAAGGTTTTTTCAATATATTATTTGTCAAGTCATTTTTTTTATGTTAGTTATTTCACATAATTTTTTTTTTTATAATAAAGTGGATTCATACCTACCCAAGTCTTATATCAGTTTCTCATTACATGACAAACTAGGGTCTATGCATTAATTATTTGATTTATTTTGATATCTGTAACCACTTTATTAATATCGAAATTATAAGGATTAATCTTTGATCTCCAATGGTTAGGGCACGTGAGGTTGAAGATGAAGCCAAATATGGCCTCCTAATCCATCACTGATACTAATAAACAATATTAATAACAAACCAATCTTCACATTGTAGGATCGTCATTCTTATGGTTTTAAATTTTAAGTTGACTCTATAATCTAATTAAAATAAATTCTAATATTAACTGAACCAGTTAATATTCACTCAATTATTTTTTTAATGATTAGATTACCGAGCCACTTAACATTCTCAATTAATCTTAAGATTTATTGAACACTTTATAGGGTAATGTTTCAAAGTAAGCCACAAATGTGATAGTAGTCTCAGGTTATTGAACACCCTACAAACCCAATGTTCCAAGTAAGCATAAATGTAATATGTGATTTAAAGTGGTTCGAACCCAGAAAGTCAGAAAGAAGCAAATATTCTTGACCGTCAGGCTAACCCTTTGGGGTTATATTCAATTATTCACTCAATTAGCCTCTCTTAATAAGTGATGTTTGTTTAAAATAAATACCAAATATTAAAATAATTCAATCGTTTTTATGTGGAAAGGTGTGTCTATCAAATTAATTAATAGACTAAATATAATATATAGTATACTTGCATGCGTTGATATATATCTATTATCTACAAATCAATAATGGTGTATGCCAAACATATATATTATAGAAGTAGCGTTCCAAACAAGATAAAAAGATTATGGTATAATTCTCCCATGTTACTAAATATTTGGTCAATCTTTTTCTTCTTATTTTCTTTTCTAATTATCTGTAGACCATATTGCACGGGCTGCATACAGCATACTCCAGAAGTCCACTTACCAGAACCAGAAGACTTGACTTAGAGCAGGATCAGATCAGGTTCATGCATGGCATACACCAAACTCAGTGGGAAATTCAAATGTCATTTTAATGTTTATCAGGGCCTTGATAAAGAACTTTCCTCCACATTTAGGCTCCGTTTGGTACATAGTTTGGGAAAACAATAAAGTTAAACAAATAATTTGTCTTTGGTTCACTTATTCTCAAAATATTATTATATATTATTCAATTTATTTTAAACCCCCTAAATTTATTAATTTAATTAAACAGTCCCAATTTTTTTTAAAAATTAATAAAAACACCCCAACAACCCACATTTACCAGATTCCGGTCACTACTGTCGGAAGCTGGCCTGAATCTGGTGTAATAGCGCATTACCGGCTGAATCTGGCTAGTAGTGGCCGATCTAGCATTTTCCGATCAGATCTTTGGTCGTAGACAGTCGTCAACGACAGTCGTATCTTTGGGGGTCATGCGCCATATCGGCATACGACCGACAAGATTCAGTCGGTCATGCGCCGATATGACGACTTCGGCCACCCTCCGGCGGTGGTGGCCGACTATCCGTATTTAATGGGTGAGTTGGGGGTGTTTTTGTTAACTTTTAATATTTTATTATAGAGGTGTTAAGTAAATAAACAAACATATGAGATATTTTGTTAATTTTCAAATTCTACATCATAATACCCATCCAATTTAACTTTTTTCAAAATATTATTCTAAAAATTATCAGAATAATAAACTAAACGGACCCTATGGTCCTAGCTTGAGTCAGTTATAAAATAAGAATAAATTTCATATTTTAATAAGTTATAATTTTTCTAATTCCCGTCTTAAAGAACTTTTCTCCACGTAGTAATAATTATCGGTGTATTATAAAATATATATATGCTATGCTACGTTAAATGTTTAAGATGAAATAAAATATTTATCTAAAGTTGCTTGGGATAATGATTTATGCTTTAGAGTTGTTACTATATCTTTGAACTTATAGATATTTAATAAGCTGCCACCATGAACATCTTTTTTTTGAAACCAAAATATTTTTAGGTTCTCAAGCATGTTTATAGCTTTTTAGCACGAAACTATTTGTATTTCTGTACTATTATTTTCATAATTATCTTATTTCTTTTCTTATTTAATTACAGTAATGATTTATGTGCTAAAACATACACGACATATTACTGATTTGGATGATTAAGGAAGACATTAATATTCATTCGATTGGTGTATACTTTGCCTCTATACTACTTGCATTAATAATAAATTAAGTTAAAACAATAATTTTTATAAGTGTAATTATATTGAATTATAACTTTTTTATAATAATAAAATTAGTTTAATCCCATCATTATGATTACATAAAGGTTCTACTTTATATAAAATGATAAAATTTACCTAATTTTGTTAGTGTCGTAATAAGAAGATGATATTTCAGAGATGTATGTCAACATTAAAGATAACAGTGTCGGTGTTATAATAAATCCAAAGGGGATATTAGCAGTCAATTTTAATGGATGAAATACAAACTAATATAGGTGTAGAAACAAGCTAACGTGTCCTCCTTTGCGTCTAAAGCAAGAAGAGTGTAACCATTAGTGATCAAGTAAAATCCATATGAAAAGTCAATTTTTACATAGTTTTGACCATGACAAATCTGACAAATTTTCTAAGCTTGGTTTCATTAATGATTAAGATCTTTTTACATGATAATAATAAGTTTTGGAAGAATATGCGAAGTATATGAATGTGATCTGCCAGTTGAGGCCAGCCTTGTTATTATTATTCTCTCATCATAAAAATCATGCACGTATACATGAATTTCTGGTGTCATCTTTAACTTTTCAGAGGGTATCTTTCTTTAAGCTGTTCAATGTCTCTGGTTGATGCATCTTTGTCGTTTTGCCAAAGGTGGAAGCTATCTTGCCCAACTCACTCTTTAATTATTGTTCTTCTTCGTCTCTATCCTTTTTGTTTTACCACTTTCCTTTCATCCCTGTAATTCAAGTTTTGAGAGACTCTTAATTAGACAAGTGATTCAAAAACGACCATAACCTTAACTTTTGACTGGTAAAAGTTGATGATGGTACTTGTTTTCTGTTTTATGCGGAGTTCCTTTTAATTACTTTTATATGTTCTGAATCGTCGCATATTTCTTATTTACACTCTCTTTAATGAAAACGTATTTAATACTTTTTGTGATTGAAAGATGATGCATGCATATCTTGAATGAAGTATATTTAATTTACATATTTAACTTAACATTATCTAGCTAGGCTTAATGACATGATCGTTCCAACTAATGTAAACATGAAAACAAGCTCAAAGAATATTCCTATATCATCTCTCAATCCTTAAAGCACGTGTGATGAATCAATCAATAATTTAAAAGATTATACTGTGATCACAAGAATTAATAATTCAATTGTCATCAACCAAGAAGGATAAAATCTGAAATCCTATATGAACACAAACAAGAACCCTTCTTCAGTTTTTTAAATAATTAATTGTTATACTAGCTGACAAACCCTTCTTACAAACTTTCTTTCTTAAACGTGACATGACAGTTTACAATTAATCGGTTAGTAATGGATCCCATTTGCCTAATAATGAGTCTCGCCTGACTAATTTCGAGCTAACCAATTACAAGCTGTCACGTCATATTTGTGAAAGAAAGTTAGCGTGAAAGATATGTCAGCGTATCTTTATTGAAAGAGAAAAAATTATTTTGCCATGAGAGATATAAATACGGCATCCTTGAAAATCATTGGATGAGAATTGGAATGGGAATGAGAACGGGAAGTGAGTCGACAACCATCAACTTTACATAACTTGTCCAAATTGACTTGTCTAATCACTTTGAATTTAGTTTCAACATGACATAATCACCATAAAAATTCTTGTCTTGACATGATAATTGGCATGGAGAGAGTTACAGTAATTAGTAAATACAAGAATGATTTGGTTTTGAAGATGAATCCATAATAAGGTACAAATATGATTTGTTTTGAAGCCACATAGTAACTACAGAGTATGAATCTGATCTGCCAATTTCAACCATTTTTATATATAATTTGTTTACAAAATCAAGATATCTGATTCCTTACAAACTCCTTTGGTGTAATTTTTTTCCACCAACTTTTTGACTTTATAACGGTACCTTCTGCTTTTGATACCATACAAGAAGTTCAATGGTTCTAATCCAACTTCGTCATTTTCCAACACAAAATTAAAAAAAAAAAAAAAAAAAAAAAAAAAAGAAATCACACAGAAATCTATACACAACTTCCTCCAGGCTTTGGCTAGCTCAGCATTTTGTTATTCTAATTTTCTTTCCTTTTAGATGATGATTCTTTTTTTTGTTTTCGCTCTTTAGGTTGTTTTCACTTATCCTTGAAACTGAAGATGTGGACTCAAAAGTAATTGCTGATTCAAGAATGGCTGGTGTACTAAGTTGTACTGGGGATCAGTTTGATCAGTTGTATTAGTGAAAATGCGAGAATTGATGAACTTCTTTGATGGGTGCAACATGTTATCATCAACGTTTGAATTTGAATGTGCGCGCTTGAGCTTGTTCTCCAGGTTTGGGACTGCAGAGTTCAACGGAGGCAGTTTTTGATAAAAGTAGCTACTGTTATGGCCACTGCTGTTGGCTCCGTTGTTGAAAACAGGCTGGTCGAGAATCCCAGGAGTGAACATTGGAGCGGATTCGAGTCCTGCTTGATTCATTTGATTGTCTGATAGAAAATTACTCAGCATTGAGTAATCCATGGCGTCTAGTAAGTTTGAGAATGAAGAAGAATTCTGAGACCTCAAGGTGTTGTGGTTTGGAGGAGTTTTAAGGATTGGTAAAAGGGTATCTTGGAAAAATTGTTCTTCTTCTTCTTGATCACTTGCTGCTGCATTTGATGTTGGCGAAGACACATGGGACTTTCGATAGATCCGGCAAAGAACCCAATCATCTAACTGGAACAAAGAAGAAATACAAGTCAATCATAGCAGTAAAATTAGCTGCAATGTAAACATCTACTACTTCTCTTTAATTTGCATTGATGGTAACCATTTACCTACTTAATGCCTCCAAATGCATAAAAAAATATGAATATTCTAATTATGGTGCTCACCCTCATGGAACAGTCTCTAGACTTCATTGGTTTGTTGTTATTCAAAGTGTTGGGGCTATCTGCAAGGCGATATTCATGCATGATCCAATTGGTCTTGACTCCCTTAGGAGGCCTTCCCTTGTAGAAGACAAGAGCCTTCTTCACACCAATGTTTTCCTGAGCTCCTGCTCCTACCCCTCCGGTTGCCACTGATGAGGCCAGAATGATTTTATCGGTGCCTGTGGCCTTCCAATACCCGGATGCAGCTGCTCTGTTTGGCCTAGCTCCATTTGGGTACTTTCGATCTCTAGGACTGAAAAAGTACCACTCTTTCTCTCCAAAGGCAGCTTTAGCTGATCAAAACAAACAGAACAAACAATCAGTTACACAATCACTTTTAACATGATGAGTGATCAAGAAAGAACAATTCAAATAAAGTTACCCCCTTTTGTGGCAAAAATATAAGTCACCTAGCATAATACTATTTGATTGGTAAAAGAAGAAGAAGAAAAAAGATAGAACACCTGGTAAGTCCCAAGGATCAGACTTGTAAATATCAACATCGGCGATGATGGAAACAGGGAAAGGTGTAGAAGCCACCTTCTTCTTAAGGTAATGAAGAATAAGCTCTTCATCAGTTGGGTGGAACCTAAACCCTGGTGGCAAGGTTGATTGTGGGTGGTTCTTCTTTATGTAAACCATGTTAACAAAAAAAGCGCACACACACACACACACACAAGACACCAAACTAGCGATAAGTGTAACAAGAATAAACAAAGAAGAAAGCGGAGGAAAAACAATTAAAGAAAAGGGAATTGAAAGAGAGAGAACAAAGGATTGAAATTTTTGCGATAGGGGGATGGAGGGGATTATATGGACGCGGGATTTTGTCATGTAGTGATAAAGCAAAAAAGATTAGGCCAAAGAAGATAGAAGAAATCAGTTGCATAATGAGACCCCACCACAGAAGAAGCCAGCTAATTAACGGGGGCTCTGATATTATTGGTGTTATAGAATAAGAAAGGTAGCGGCTGATCAAAGAATGAGGTTTCATTTTCTGACATCATATTCTTTCAGATCATAACTCGACACGTACCCCCCTTAGATTTTTGTCCTCATTATGCCACAGGCCCCTGTGCCAGTCCCCCTCACCATGCCGTAAATATGTGTATCTCTTGACTACTTCCCCCCTCTTCTTCTTCATCAATTTTCTAATGCAAAGATGGGGCCTTCTTCCAGCCGTGAATCAAGCTGCAGATGAAGATTAAGATGAAGATGAAGATGGTGATGGATTAACTTTAAGATAATGATTTTGGGTTTAAGAGTTTTTTCCATATTGTTGAGTGTTGATTGGTGGGTTAACTTTTTTACTTTTGGAAAATAAACAAAAGGCATAAAGTTATTTGTTTCTAGATTAAGATTAAACTACTATAATTGATGCTACTTAATCCATATCATAACTACTTTTCGTAGTTATTATAATAGTTCTTATTATGGTTTATAACAACTCTGCGGATTGACTCGGATAAAACACATACTGTAAACCTAAACCAATCTGATAATATTATTACTTGTTTCCGATATGTAGAGTGAGCTTATGATCAATAATTGAAGCCGTATGATAAAAAGATTAGAAGATTGATTTGATTGATTGATTTAGAAGTGAAATTAAAGTTAGTGTTTGAATCTAGATTCAAAATAGTTTGAGTGTTGTTGACTATTGATGATGATCTTAGGGGTCCATCCACTAATTCATAGCCTTTTTTAATGCTCCTAAGAAATTGAAACTTTTGATTACCCAACTCAACTCAATAAATGATTATGTGAACACACACACACACACACATTAATATATATATATATATTAATGACCGGGATGTCTGAATCAGCTTACGTACATGCACCTCAACTAATCTTCAAAGCTCATTGAACACCTTACAAACCCAATATTACAAGATAAGTCACAAATATGATAGATGACCCCAAGGTGCTTCGAACCTTGGAAGTCAATAAAGGTGTTTTGACCAACTTGCATGCACGCACATCTTAACTAATCCTCAAAACCCATTAAACACCTTACAAATTCAATGTTCTAAAGTAAACTACAAATGTGGTAAATAATCTTAAAGTGATTCAAACCTAAAAAGTCAAACAACCGAGCCAACCTTTCGAGGTTTCAAGAAATTACATTATGTTTGATTTTTGAATTATTCATTGGATTGCAATTGGGGGTTGGTTGATTTTCAATGCAACCCCATTTACTTTTTTCTTGGGAATTTAATGCAAGATGATTTGTTTATTAGTATTAGTTTTATCATGAAGAAAAAAGACAACATTTCAATTTCATAGTCAAATAAATAACGCGGTTGTTAATTTATGGGTATATTCAAAATTCATTAGAAAAATTGGATACGATCAAACAAATTCAAATCCATCAATTTAGGTTGATTTGATCAATTTTAATTTTTTTATTTTTTTTGGAAGAATCTGAAATATTATAACACAAAATTACAAAGAAGATAGCACAAAGATGACTAGGACTATATATATATATATATTTTTTAATTCCCAATAAATTTCTTGGACGAATTTAAGAGAGGGCTATGGACTTATTTTATTAACAAAAAAAGAATAATTTAAATAAGGGAGAACGACTTATACATATCCAAGGTTTATCGTAACGACAAGTTGGTACTCAAAAGTTTTTGAAATGACAAATAGGTACTTTCCGTAATGTTCTCTTAGTGATTTCTGTTTATTAATAGTGAAAAGACTAAAATGCCCTTAAAAGTTTAAATTTTAGTTTTTTATAAATTTAAAAATTTCTAAAAAACCCCTTAGGTTTGCTAATTTGACTAAACACCCCAATATATAAAAATTTTATAAAATAACAAAAACACCCCCAACCCGCAAGTGCCAGATTCCGGCCACCACCGCCGGAATCTGGCCGAAAAGTTGCGTTACGACACAGACCCGTCGGATCTGTGTCGTAACGCGTTGATCTAGCCTTTTCCAGCCAGATCCGTGGCGGATCTGACCGGAAAAGGCCAGATCGGCACGTTACGACACAGATCCGACGGATCTGTGTCGTAATGTAGTTTTCCGACCAGATTCTGGCGATGGTGGCCGGAATCTGACACTGGGGTGATGGGGGTGTTTTTGTCATTTAACAAACTTTTTATATAGGGGTGTTTAATTAAATTAGCAAACCTATGAGGTTTTTTAGAAATTTTTAAATTTATAAAAAACTAAAATTGAAACTTTGAAGGGTATTTTAGTCTTTTCACTGTTAATAAACAAAAATCACTAACAGAACATGACGGAAGGTACCTATTTGTCGTTTCAAAACCTTTTGGATACCAACTTGTCGTTACAGTAAACCTTGGGTATGCACAAGTCGTTCGGCCTTTAAATAATTGTGAAACTTACATATTTATAATGACAAATTTAGCCTTAAATAAGAGTTAAAAATAGTCATTGAAGCGTCGCGGACACACCTGCCATTGTTTAACACTTAAAGCACTCACCTTAATTCATAAAAATAATAATATCATGTTGAACTTCATCATCAACCCATATTTTAATTTTGACAAAAATAATTAACAATAAAAGTCAATACTTGAATAGTTTTCTAAACACACGTGTGATGCAAACGACATGGATTTCTTGCGTATTGTTGAGAAAATTTTGATCAAGTCATACAAAGACATACCTAACCAGAATCTCTCAAACGCTAATTTCAAAGTCTAAACCCAAAATAATACTGCTGATTATAGCAACATATGACCCCTTCATTCCAACAATGGTGAAATTATCTAAGCGTATACGTATGCTACCCATGTTGTTGTTATACATACACAATAAATTTACGTAGAAAACTCGATAAGATTTGTCAAATAAGTTAACACAGGACGAATATCATATAGTTTTTTAGTTAATCACATGTCGAATTTCTACTATTGCTCTAAGTCAGCACTCAATCTGGATTGTAAATTTTGGTTACCTAATTGTACTTTGCTTCCTTGATGCAAATCAGAAATTGAACTTTGACAGTGCAATGGTGAAGCAACAACCCAATACATTAAATTATTATCTTAAGGTAAGAATTCTGGGAAAGGAACTGAAACTGAATTCCTATAATACGACAACGCGAAAAGGGATTAAAAAATCCCCAAGTCTGGGAAGATTTCCACCATATAAAAGAGGTAATGGTGAGGTGGTGAAATTGGACAAAAGGAGAAGAATGGGACAAACTGGTTGACAGATAGGTTTTGGAAGTAATATGCTAAAGAATTAATATATCAGGGAAAAGAAAGTTTATGATTATCCATAACACCATAAGACTTGAATATTTATCCTTCAAAGATGCTTTAATTTGGGTGATGAGTTTAACGTTATATTTGTTTTCATGCAAAGAATAGGTTTCATACTTTGAATCTTATGTCATGAGTGATGCAAAATAAAGTACCTGGAGTCCAATGGTTCCTTTGCTTCATTCACCACCTCCACTTTTTCAATAACTAGGTAACTTGTTCAGCTGAAACTCAAATACCCACATGTCAATAAGTAATATAATATATAATAAATGTATATGGTAATGTCATTTAATAAAGTAGCCCATAATTTTGTCTCAGTTCCATTTTCTCAACTTGCAGATAAATATCAAAGAAATCCTTAGTCAAGCCAACAAAAGGAGTTCATGCGCGATGTTTAAATGGTCAAAAGCATCTTTCCACTTAGTTGTGGGAACCTTGACTTTTGATTTTAGCAGTAGAATTATGCTCCAACGACCAAGACCAGCTTAAAAAAGTAGAAATGGAAATGAAAAATCACATGGTTAGCTTCTCAGATTCAAAGCCAAGCACAAGATTCTTACCGTAACATGGTGCCGGGCAGCTTGAACTTCTCATCAAGACAAACGTGCAACTAGTCACTACATCAGGTTGTTAAGGGAAGAATTTGACTGAACATGGGATCATAATGCAGACGAAAAATGTTAAATTGGTCAAAGGTATGGTTATCGTGTTAAAAATATGCAATAGCTTAGTTTCTAAGTGAAAAAAAGTCTTGATTGTGACCCCTGTAGTTTTCCACGTGTAGTTTACCTAATCTAACGGCTAGTACTTATCTATTCAAATAGTAACACCCAGTTCTCCCATTTGGCACTTCACATACTGACATAGGCCTAACTAAAGAACTGTTTCAAAACTGCTGAAGTAATGGGGCTTTTTTAGTGTTTTCTTAACCGCTAAGACTTGAAACAATATATAGTGGCCACTGCATCGGTTTTGAGTGTTTTGTAAATACTAAATGAAAAGAGGGTAAAATGTTATTTCTTGTCTGCTCTGTTAAAGAACCTAAATCTAAAAAGCTTAAGATGATAAGAAATAACCCAAGTAATAAAACTATAACACATCTCCTCACGTGCATGACCAATATTAATGTAAAGGATTTGTCTTGTGGATCCAAACACACAAAATACACACTTCCAAACAGATAAAAACACACACACAGTCCCTATATGCTTTATGTCATAATTTAATTAATAAAATGGAAGGATTTTAGCAAATTACCTTTTGGTCAACTTGACAAGGATACCATTTTGAGAAACCATTTAATCCTAAAAACTGGAGCTTGTAGGAAGAATCCCAACAATGATATTTAACTCTTAGGAAACTCTAGTATACAGATATACCCTATTTAAAACTCCCCTAGAATGCTTATAGTACTAAAACCAGAAACACTTAGGACCAAAGGAAAAGAAATAAACAATGTAAAGTAAAATTAAGAGATAAAAGTACATATGGTATTTTCTAAACAAAGGTGTACATACTGAGGATGACATACAGACTACAGACATGCAACATTGCAACCAAAAGACTTCCTCATTGTAATGCTACATGATCTCAAACATGTTAGATTAGCATTATGTCTGAACCGCAACATAGACATAATCTAAATGGCAGCATAACTATGTCTAGGTGACCTCAATTAAGATATTTCAGATCTTGATTTCCATAAAAGTTCATAGCTACAATCACTTTTCAATGTGTCAACCCATCCACACTCGGACTTCAGCTGCAGAAAGTTAACAACAGCACAGGAACTAAAGAATGGTTCCAGAACCAATTCAAATTTACTTCTCTTTGCAGAAATCAAACAAACTACAATAAGGAAATCAACCTCAAGCCACAGCAATATTAAATGAAAATGCAAATCTTTTTTTCCTGTCCTATAACACAAAACATTCAGCTCCACAGATAAATGCATGAAACCTACTACTAATAACAAAGTTCAAAAATTGTGATGTGCTTGGCCTGTATGGTTTTACTTAGTTGGTTTTACAGACCATTGTTCTATGGCAAACAATTTGGTACATTGCAGATAGGATCATCTAATGCAAATATAAAAATTTACACAAATAAATAGACCCTTACGTATTTACCCATATTGCATAACCACCAACATATTGTACAAATTATTTTGTCATAAATTCAGTACAGTTTTCATTAAAAATTAGAATTCTTTTCTTCTGAGGATCTCAATGCATTTGTTGCAAAAAGAAAAAAACTTGCACCAGAATACAAATGCTATCGTACTGACCTAAGGGCTGAGTTGAATGGTATGACTCTTGGTTTCCAACCAAAAAGTCAAAGATTAAATCCCCTTGGAACCATCCACCCAAGATATTATATCATGGTTGTTCTGAATGTTAAAGATTGTAGGACCTTGCAGTAATCCCTATTATCAAATCTGGTTGCACAGGCCAAAGGTTTCTAGATACACTGAAAAAGAAAAAACCTACTGTCATCCCACTAAGAACTAAACTTAACATAACTTACATTAATTCCACAAGTTTCTTTATAGAAAATTGTAGCAAGATATAGTCTATACCACTTTGGCAGCCTAACTCAAAGCTCAAAGCTTAAATACCGCAGAAATATAACAAAAGCTTATTAACTTGCATACTCTGTCTACTTTCTTTGCTAGGTCTAGGGTTAGTTACCACATGCCCACTCTACCCCACCAGAGCCAAAGCCATTAGCCTTTACATCCACAGTTCCAAAGGAAACCATAAACAGATGCAGCCGAAACAAACCATGCACAATTCTAGTTTCAAATATGTATCATAATCAGCAAACTAGTAAGAAAGATGACAAACATCTCACGGTCCAGGCAAAAGATATGTGCATGTAAACGTAATATGCAACCTTCATGTGGCAGTACTTCAATTTTCAGCACGTCTGGGCTGAGTTGATGCATAAAATGAGGACAGTTAGTTATTTTTTATGATTTGTCACAACAATAACAGTCAGTAAAAAAGTACCTTGATTTTTCAATGTATATATAAAGTGTAACTCACCTCTATTATGTTTATATATAAACTCAAGACAAATGTAAGTTATAATCAAATTCATACACAAAACACATACCGTGAAGATTTATTGTTACTTAAATCTAGTGCTCCCAGAAAGAAAATCCCCGCTCTCTCACAACCCTTCTAGTTTCAGGTCGTCGAAGAAAATCTCTGTCCTCTTCAGATCTCCTGGAGACTATCCCAGTATGCTTACCTGACTGAAGATTATTAGCTTTGAACTCTGCCACCTGACGCTCAGCAGACTGCTTACTGGATAACCAATCATGAATCATCTCATCTGTTTTAGGTTCTGGCAAAAACTGTTTTTCCTTCATCTCTATATAATACTTGTGCGCTTCCTCCAGCTTTCCATTCAAAAAGAGCCCATGTATCAGCACAATGTATGAACTGCGATCATGACCAATTCCATTCTCATTCATCTCATTCCACACCTTAAAGATATTGTCAAACTGGCGCCACCGAGAAAACTTTCTAATTAACATGATATAAGTATCATTATCTGGTTGGCAGCCAGTCTCTCTCATATTCTTAAGCAGCTCAAACACTTCTTCTCCTGTTCTCATTACACGCAAGAAGGCATGGTAAGTCTGAATTGTGGGTTTGAGACCCCGCTGCAACATATCATCTAGGGCCTCCCTAGCCTCATCAATTTTTCGTGCTTTACAGAGAGGTTTCATCAATGAGTTATAGGTGGCAGTGTTTGGAGCTATACCCTTCTCTTCCATACTTTTCAGGATATTAATTGCTTCTCTCACAAACCTACCTTTTGCCAAAGCATGAATGACCGCATTGTAAACCTTTCTATCTGGTTCAATCCCCCATTTTTTCATTTGATCAAAAAGCCTGAGCACCTTATGAATGTTACTTGTTTTCGAGTAGCAAGACATGATACTTGAGAATGACACAACATCACGTCGAATGCCTCTCCTACTCATTTCCCTCCAAACTCTCTCTGCCTCTCGTGGACTACCAATGATATTACACCATCCATTAAGTATAATATTAAAACTCTTGGTATTAAATGGGAACACCTCCTTGTTACAAAACATCAAATGCTCAGCATCTTGCACATTCTTGTATCGACAAAGAGCTGATAAAAGACTTTGGAAATCATCAATATCCACATCAAATTTAAACCTTTTATAAGCATAGAAAGCATTTATGGCATGCCCGACATCATGCACAGCACAATATCTCCTAATCATGATCAATAGAGTCTGCTTTGTCAGAAAAGAAGGACCTGTCCTTCCCCCTCTCATCTCATCAATCAATGCCCATGCTGTATCAAACTTCCTCATTTTGCCAAGAGTAGCTATCATTGCATTATATTCACGTGTAGAGTGCACATAATCCGGCTGCTTTCCAGCCCATAGAAAGAAAGTAAATGCTGCCTCCCAATCATTTCGAACCCGAGAAAGAACCTCCACCACCACCTCTGATGATATACTAATACCACATTGCTCAATCTTGGCTTTCATTTCCGGGCGTTTATTACCATATTCGCGTAATATATCTACAAGGGTATTCACATCTTTGACTACACTCTCATCACTTATATTCAATTGTTTAAAATCAGATACATCAATAACCTCTTTATCATCATCATCATCATCATCATCGTTATCAATTTCACTATCGCTCTCATCACAGTCTTTTTCTTCTAATTTGGAGATTTTAGGTGCAATTGGGGTTTCAAGATTTGAAGTAGAGTAACAAGAGAACCGCAATGCAAACCTAAAACCATTGACAGGCTTTATCAAAGTTGTTTCATTGATGGGGTTTGCGTATTGGGACGATTTTACATAAGCAGAACTTAAATGGGTGCAAACACGAATCACGGCACCCAATAAGTTTGATCTTATTGCTCTGATTCCTTGCATTTCCAGCAACTCAATCAGCAGAGATAAATACTATACTATGCAACCGAAAACAACTACATAAATGGTCAGAGATTCCTTTTTTTTTTTTTTTTTTTTAAACAAGACTACGAACAGAAACTGTTTGAGGAAAAGACTGAATAAAAAGAACAAGATCAAATGAGCTTCTAATGAAACTTACTTTGTTCATCATGTGGGAAAGATAGTAATTCTTGGGTTGATCCTCGTGTTTATTAACATTGAGGATTTAGCTCGAATCAGATTGAACAGTCACAACAGCAGTCAAGTAAAAGCCCGCCAACATGCACCAGCATATATAAACTAGTGCAGTGAGGTTTGAGTTTGGTAGGCCTCATGTATCGGTTTTCAGAAACCCTATTGTACAATAGCATTTTCAAAACTCTTTATATAATTCAAACTCTTTAATATAAAAAGTTTATTCATCAAAGTTAAAGTCTAATAGACACTCTATATTTAGAGAGTCAAATTTCACTTTTTATCATAATTTTAAGGCCAAATGACTTACGCATACCTAAAGTTTGCCTAAACACCAAGTTGGTACCCAAAAGATTTTGAAACAACAAATAGGTACCTTTCGTCATGTTCTGTTAGTGATCTTCATTTGATAATAGTAAAAAGACTAAAATGCCTTTAAAAGTTTAATATTTTAGTTTTTTTATAAATTTAAAAATTTCTAAAAAACCGCCTAGGTTTGCTAATTTGACTAAATACCCCAATATATAAAAAATTTATAAAATAACAAAAATACCCCTGCCACCCGCAGTGCCAGATCTCGGCCACCACCGTTGAAATCTGGCCGAAAAATTTACGTTACGACACAGACCCATCGGATCTGTGTCATAACGCGCAGATTTAGCATTTTCTGGCAAGATCCATAGCTGATCTGGCCGGAAAAGGCCAGATCTGGCCGTCGAGGCCGGAATCTCATCGAAAAACCATGTTACGACACAGATACTTCGGATCTGTGTCATAACACGTCAATCTGGCATTTTTCGGCTAGATCCGTGGAGGATCTGGCTGGAAAAGGCCAGATCTGGCTGCCGAGGTCGAAAAAGGCCAGACGTAGATCTGGCCGGAAAAGTCTAGATCGATGCGTTACGACACAGATCCACAATTTTCCAGCCAGATTCCGATAGTGGTGGCCGGAATCTGGCACTGCGGGTGGCGGGGGTGTTTTTCTTATTTTATAAAATTTTTATACATTGGGGTTTTTAGTCAAATTAGAAAACCTAGGGGGTTTTTCAGAAATTTTTAAATTTATAAAAAATAAAATATTAAACTTTCAAGGTCATTCTAGTCTTTTCACTATTATCAAACGAAATCACTAACATAACATGATGGAAGGTACCTATTTGTCGTTTCAAAACCTTTTGGGTATCAACTTGTCATTTCGGTAAACGTTGGGTATGTGTAAGTCGTTCTCCCTAATTTTAATTAATAAACTACAAGTTCCTATGTATTTTATTTATTAATTTTTTCTCCCACTAAGTCACTTTTTTAAAAATAAAAATAAAGAGCATTTTTATTAAATTTTAAGAGTCTATTGGATTTGAATAAAAATTATGTTCTTTATATTTAAAAATTAATGAAGATGCTCTTTATTTATATGAAAGATGCTCTTCAAAATAAAGAATACTATTGACATGCTCTTAATGCATAATAACCCTCGTATCATATTTAAGCTTTTCATCGTGTGAAAATTGATTCAGTAATATTTTCGGACTGATAAAAAAAAAAAGTGTGACTTTAAACTTCATTTCAATTTTGCGAAAGGATTTTAAATTATAATATCCAACTCCAAAAAATTGTATTTATTTAATAATTTGAGAAAAGTAATATATATATATAATGAGCAAATTAGAATAAAAAAGTTAGATTTAATACAAATTCTTAAAATAATGGACAGAACTTCTAATATCCTTTAACTACAAAATGAACAAATAGAAAAAAAAGTTAGATTTAATACAAATTCTTAAAATAATTGACAGAACTTCTAATACCTTTAATTAAAGTACAGACAATGCTTGTAATGTGATATTCTATATCTATGATATAAAGTTAATATTAATGTTAAACAATAAATCGATAATGTAACAAGTAAACAGCATAATATCATTATATTAGATAATCCGATGGCATTACCACATCTATTCTATAATAAATTATGGGCAATCCGACAGTGTTTTAAAACTCAGTTCGGGCCAATCGGTTGAATCGGTTCTACCAAAACCCAGGGTCTTCACCGAGTCGTGTTACCAATTTACTATTTATCGAAAATCTTAGAAATTAGGACAATGATCGATGAACATTGAAGGTTAAGAGTTAGAGGTTTTAAAGAGGAACAACCAATGAGTGGAAAGATGGCGATAGACGTTATTTTCGGGAGTGAATGACCTGAAATTCCAAATAAAAAAAATCGATTGGTGAGACGAACAGGGGTGGGGTGAGATGGGTTTTAGTTAGGAGGTCAAGGGGAGAGTTTTCGTGATTATGGGGTGTTTTGTTGACGTTGGAAATGGTCCTATTTGGCCTAGGTTGTCGATACCAACGGTATAATTTAGAGTATTTTTATAAGATTTCAAACTTGTTGGGATTTATAGTAGTTTTTAAGAGAGTTTTTGCTAGATTTCAAACATTTTTACATGCTGACATCACCTGTTCGACCCATTTGTCATACTACTTCAACTGGTCAATCCAGGACCCGACCACTTTGCCGGGTTTCACCTCGGGTTGAATTTTAAAATCTTGCTTTCGACCATACCCATTAATTAACATGAACACTGAAATCTTATTATAAAATAATAACAGATAAAATAAAATATAGCAGGTCCAGAAAAAGAGAAAAAAAAAAAAAGAAAAAAAAAAAAGGAGGCTTAAAGGATATATCTGATATTGAATGATTAAATTAAAAGAAACAAAAATGAATTGGTATCTCACCATTCAGTCCGTTCTTGTTCTTTTTCTAAATGAACTAATTGAATCAAATCGTTCTCTCAAGAATTATGAATCAGAACATTCTGTAACATAATTACAAATGATAATAAATGGATTTTTTTTTTTTTACTTTTTTTTTTTTTTTTCTTTCTCTCTCATTATTCCCAGGATCCAAGATATAAACCAAAATCCGATTCCCCCACCCAAGTTGATAGTGAATTCTGAGGTTATTGACCGTGGATACTTTCAGCTTGAACTCTGCCGGCACCAAAAGACCCACATGTCGCGTCAATTGTTCAATGTGTAATCAAGCTGATGATGTGATTCGATCATGTCTACGATGATATAGCCTCTATGGCACTGCCTAGCGGCCATGCTGCTTCGACACGAGCATTTCGATATTCAACTTGCTTTACCAAGGTAATATCTAGCCAGGGATCAAGGCCTGTCCAAGAAGAATGACCATACATGGAAAGATCAGATTCGAAAATAACCTTAAGGAGCATAACTGACACAATTTTATGTATAGCTTACCAAATCCAATAACTAGCAAAGTATGCTGGTAGACAAGATCCATGCAAATGTATGGCAAGTTAGCCTCCTCCACATGTGGAAAAGCGGATTTTGCATCCTCTAATCTTGTTTGGCAAGCTCGCTTAGCCGCGGTCTCAAAATCAGCAGGACGAACTTTGGCAACAGCTTGTTTAGAATCAATAAAACCAGCCTATATGTAAACCATTAAGTTAGCATAGCTATGCAGCCATAAGAAAAGGAAATCCTACTAGGAACTAGTTTTCTCATGGAGAGTTCATACCTCTGCAGCCCTGTCAAAGAAAAATGAAGCAACAAACAGACTCTTTTGACCATCACCTCCACCACCATTCCATATTCCACCAAACGTGCATTTCATGTGAGTGCATGAATCATTAACACTGAGGGCTTCAATAGCTGTACTCCTACATTGCTCCAGGTTTGAGCCAGAGGGAGAAGCTGATGCTTTGTAATCCTTTCCACCATATTTATAAGATCCTTTAAAAAGTTACAAAGAAGAGAAAAGGAATTTAATATCAATGTTCTACTATTGTTGAAAGGCAGAGTAATGTAATTTGTATGTCATATTAAATTCTTTAACAAATTTTTCCTCTTCAAGAGAAGACAGTTTCACCCACAATCTTCATAGCATCCAGGAAGACCACTTTAGAAATTATGAAGACCACTTTAGAAATTATAGAGGGAGGGAGGGAGAGAGAGAGAAGAGATCAGTCTGATGAGTAAGGGGAAAGCAGGTTGCTGGCGTTTTCTACAGCCAAGCATCAAACGTTTTGCAATGACGTTTAAGTTTGACATAAAGAAACCTCTGATTGATTACAAGCTAAAACAAGGTGCCTGCTTCCAGGACATCATGTCTTGGATTAGCAAACAGAAATGTGGGTTTTCTCTCAGTTCAACAGTGTTGAATAGTGTTATTTAGGTAGGTTTATAGCAGATACAGATAACTTTTTAAATTGCATTTCAAACAGTTACAAAATGTATTATGCAACAGAATTTAAAAAGGGAAAAATTATTTTACACAAACATGATGCAGCTTCATATTTGAACACTGAAAATGTTGTGTAACAGGACTTCTGAAAGTGAGTTAACTGAACATACCATCATATCCCGCCAAAATGCATGGGTTGTCAGAGTCGTCAGTAACCTTCAAGATTTCTGCTCGAGCTGCTAATAAACCATAGTGCAAGTAACTGTATGCAAGATGACAAAATTATATTAGCTGAAACATAGAGCAGCAAAATATCTGCAAAACTACACAGTTCTTTCACTGAAAAAAAGGATCTTTTTAAACAAATTTAAAACTTGAAAAGATTTTCTAACATGAACAGAATGTCCACCCAATAATAGATGATTGTCAGGTGATTGAATGTGAGATCATCTAATAGAATAGTGTGGTCAAAGTATGATAAGAAAGAGGTATACCTGTGAACATAGAGGAAATATTTTGTTCCCATCAGAGTCATTTCCTTTACATATGAATCCTCTCCGTCTGATAACTTTGGAGCCGTTCCAGCCTCCTCCTCTGAGATGGCATACGCCATCTGTACAGATCCACCTCCAAGATCAACTACTCCAACAGTTTTTGAATATTTCTTCCCCAATCTCCCTAATAGATAGTTTATTGTTACCTGCAAAACAATGTCCATGTAAGAGATCCTCACCATAACTAATCAAACAAAAGAAATCAAAAGAACAGATTCTCCTCATTATGTACTAAGATAAATGCAGCAAAACTATATGCTAATGCTTATGTTTCATCATCAGTTTTCATTGTACAGTATACAACTACTCAGTTTATCATGATTTTAATTCATCAAGGACAAGATGCAGCTACCATTGTCTATGCCTTAATATGTTTCTTTTTCAGGCCCAAAATAAGTCAATACTTGATTATCCCTTCACTCTCCCAAAGAGAAGGCATTATCGATGTCTTAACTTAGAATTTGCCATGTCAATATGATTTGACTATCTCAGAGGCTAGCCAAAAATCAATTAACAAAGCACCAAAATCAAGGCTATGACATCTGAAAAAGTGTATTGCAAAGCTCTTTTCCTTTAGGATAAGCAGAGCAGAATCAGAACCTAAAGTCAATCAACAAAAATAATGTACAAAGAGACCTTGCCTATCAGTCAATTCTGACGAAAGGGAGTTACCAAAGAATTATATAGCCTTAATAATAACAGAGTTTAGCCCATCCAAAACAACCAATATTATTGGTAGGCATATTATTTCAATAATTAATTTTGTGGCTACCAACCAATATTTTTTGTTCCCTCTACCAGGTCCTCAAGGCAAAACCAAATTACTTGAAATTTCAACTGTAACTAAAATGACAAAATGATCTTAATTAGGTGAACATTGCACACCCCACAGTCACTCTGCTAAATAGGTGGTAGGTGTATTGGTTAAGTGGAATAACATAATACCAGTACAGCTCAAGTTTTTCTGCATGATCATGTGAGGAATATATGTCCTAAGGACCAAAAGCACCAGTGAGTCAAACTATATAGTCTTTCACATACATAAATATGCATTCAAGCACACCAAAAAACAAAAAAAAAAAAAAAAGTGACATACCCACTCGTATGCGCCTTCTTGAGTACCATCCAAAACAGTAACACCATCAGCCTTGAAGGAGCTTTTATATTGGAGAAGATCCCTAACCTTAAATTGGAAGTTCAAAGAACTGTAAATATGATGAAAAATAAAATAAAAAGTGTGAAAACAACCAAAGGATGGGATAACAGAAAAAAATTACCGCTTGCAATATTCTATCAGATGCATCACCTTCTAATTGCCTTAACCCTGCTGTTGCCTAGACAAACATTAAAAACCCATCTGAGTAATTTTACCAAAAATTTCAGAAAATCACATAACAGTATCACACAAGGAGATCCTAATAAATGAAAATACAGAACAAATATGTAACCACTCACCCCAACTCTAACTGGTGTCTTTGATCGTAGATCTTGGGGTACAACACTTTGTGCTTTATCAAGAAGTGTAGTAAGGGAGTTCGCAGCAAGCTGTGGATCATTTGCATATGCACTCAACCCCGGTTTAATCTGCAAACACACCAACAACCAAAAAATCAGAACCAAACAAAACACTGCAACTTATAGCAGCCACAAGAGAAAAAACTGTACAACAATTTCAAGTAGTAGATCTAGCACTAACGATTACAACTTCTCAGCTTCAACCATTGAACATGCATTAAAAATTCAGTAGTACAAACAGTGCGGCTTTTCGTACAACACTACATCACCAAAGAGCATCCCAGTAACGATACTTGTCAGCATAATGTAGTATGACCCGTATATCAAATCACAAAATTGTCCTCAATGCAAAGTGGAGTGCTAAGTTACTGAGTCACTGGGTCAGTTACAAAGCCACACCAGACACCGTTAACAATTACCAATTAAACCTTTTATTTCATATTTCTTGCTACATTTGCAGTAAAATGAGGTTGTGAATCAAATACAATCTCTTAATCTGTCCTAAATCAAATCCGGCTAACATTAGAATATAAACAAATGTTTTAAAAGAAGCAAAAGAAGAATCGATCAAATTTAACTGAATTCAACGAGATTACCTGAACAAAAAGCTCGAGATCTTCACCAATAGGCACGAGATCCAAGTTCTGATCAAAACAATACACGTGGACACGACTCCCCGAACTACCGGCGTCAAAAATAACAGCGTAGCTCTTAGACAACTTCAAATTGGGCGGGAACTTCCGTCCATTCATCTCATACTCGATCACAGTCTCGGATGACGGGGCCCGTCCCGGCATTATAAACAAAACAAACAAAATCAACATGACCGGCACGGATATCACCAGCAAAACGCTCCGGTAGCGGTGGATCTTGTCCGGAAACGAATCGTACTGACGATTACCAGGTCGTTTAGACATCTTTTCAGGCAAGAGCTGGTCAGCGGAGTGGGAAGGAGAGGTGGCGCCGGTTTCGATGAGCTCCGCGGAGGAGGGGGATCGGTAGCGGATCTGGCCGTTGCCGGTGGAGGAAGGAGGAGGAGGCTTTAGGGACTGAGATGGCGGGTCCGGTGAGGGATCCAGGGTTGATGGATTTGAGATTTGGTGAGGTGCGAATATTACAATTGGATTTTGGAGGAGAAATGTGGAACAATCATATGTGCCGTGAAGTGAGGCGTGATTAATGGTGAAGTGTGATTGGAGTTGGGAGGAGTGGTTGGTACGGTGTATATTGTCACCGGAGAGAGAAAGATGGGAGGGAGGGACCGAGGGAGATGAACGAAATGAATGTGTTGAAGTGATTTACAAATTAAGTGGTCTTTTTTTTATTTTTCTTATTTTTCTGGGATTTATTTTCTGAGAAAATCCCATATGTTTCCCAATTATAACACCCGACACTTTGGAAAATTTTAAGTGGCCCCCATCCCGTCACCGTCCATGAAAATCTGTTAAATTGCAAAATAACGTTTTTACTCTCAAACTGAATAATTATTTAAATATTAATTTTATTCTTTTTTTTTTTTTTCACCCCTTAAAACTCTTATCAATATTTTTAAAATCTGAAAATTAAACATTATCCTTTTTAAATATATCAATTTCCTTTTAAATATAAAAAACCAAAAAAAAAATATATTACCATTTTTCATTCACCAAAACTTAAAAAGAAAAAGAAGAAAGTGAAAGAAGAAATAGGAGAAAAGAAATTAAGACATGGTTTTGTATAATATAAAAAGTCAAAAATACCCTTTCTAAAGTAAAACAAATTTCGAAACACATTTTATCCGTTAATGTTAACAAACAAAACTAACGGAATGGGGCTACCCATGTATTTCGGGGAGTATCGGGGGCCATCAAAATTAACAAACATTTAGGGGCTTTCTAAAAGATCCCTATTTTTCTTACTTTTGGTTTTGGAAGTAACCGCGTTTTTCCTCTCGTGCTACTTTAACGAACTTCGTACCAACTGATTTTAATTTATTTATTTTTTCAAGAATTTTTTTCTAATTGTAAAATAAATTTAGTATAAATTCTTGGTACCAATCATATGTATTAAGATATTTTAAAAATTTGATAAAATAAAGAAATGGTCCAATTTAATGTTACACATTTTTTTAACATTTATGATGTTAAATATTTATAATATCAAAGTATTTATGGTAACAAAAGTCTTGTTTTTGCTGGATAAAAAAAAATAATTTAATTAAATTTCAGAAGGAAATTTGAAAAAAAGGAAAGAAAAATACATTTTTCAATATGTACATGGATCAATTTTGTATTGGTAATTGATCTTTTAACAGTGTTTTAAAACCTAGAAAAATTTGATAATCACAAAACGATATCTTCAATAAAAGCCTGCTGTGGCAGGCAATTGGGGAGGGGTGAAATGTGTTTTGGTCAGAAGGCTAAAGAGAGTGTTGTCATCACTGAAAACATGCCTTATTTGTCGATGCTGATGGTGGTGTTTGAGGTGTTTTTATAAGATTTCAAACTTATAGGGATTTAAAATAATTTTTATTAAATTTCGAACCTTTGAACACCGGTTTGACCCGTTGGTCAAACCAGTCAACCCAAGACCTGGCCACTTTGCCGGGTTTCACCTTGGGTTGGGTTTTAAAACACTGCTTTTAACACATTTTAACCTTAAAAAGACAACTCAGATATAATTTAGTCTTAAAGCCAATTGGGTTAAATACTTTTTAAAACTGGAAATGAAAACATTTGAAAAAGTAGATATTATAATTTGTCAAAGAAACAAAATGCAGATGCAGCAGGCAAATTGGCTTAAAAGACAGGTCAGTTTATCATGGACAACTAAAAATGAATGCATTACAGAGCTAAATAAGGCATTCTTATTACATGAACATTGAGCTTGAGCTTATGTAATGGTGAATAAACAAACACACATATTGCCCACCTTAGTTTTTCTTCTGTTTCTTTGATGGTGGAGGTGGTGGAGGGAAGACAAAACGGAACGCCCACGCCGCGACTATTGCTCCGATGAATGGACATATCCAGTAAACATAAAACTGCTCCCATGTGTCGTGTCGTTTGTTTATGTATGCCCATCCAAAAGCCTATGGTCACAACAATATATCATATGTTTAGTCATATAGTTGTAAGAGCAATATCAATACACACATCACTATGGCTATTGCCTTAACCTAAAGATACAATATTAAGTGGAGTAAGATCCCTCTACGCTCCTCAAAAAAAAAAAAAAAAAAAGATGAGCTCTTCCGCGATACCATTTTAAGCCTTTTTTAAAGACTAGCTTAAATGAACGAAGGAACAACCATACATCACTTTTCTCCATCCAACAGTGTGCCACAACAGGAGCAAATCACACAAGAGGTCTGACTGTATCTCATGTGGCTGATCTCATCTGCCTAGCAAGAAAGATACACTCTTTCTCTATCTTTCAATTTCTTCATGCCCTTCATAGAAGAAACATTTAATGTTACATGATCCCTGCTTAGCAAAGGGATCCGATTTGGCTTTGATATGTTTACGAATCCAGAAGGAACTTATTTTTGTGGCTTTATAAAGGTTAACATATTTCTATATAGATATGGATGCAACCTTGAAGACAAGAAACCCTATAAAGAAGCAAACAAGAGAAAGTCAGCATAACTTTCCTTTGCCAATTTTCCAAACCTTCATCTTTGGCTTCCTTATGATAAAGACGCGCTAAGCACATCAATACAGCCAGAAACATCATGATCCCTTCCATCATATCGGAAAAAGGGGAAAAAAAAAAAAAAAGGCAAAACAGATTACAGCAAATTCCAACTACCTAAATTGGCATCACTAAGGAATCAAAAGGAACAAAATCCTATCAGAGTTGAGAGGAGGCTCTCCAACTCAAAATGCAGTTAGGAAGGGAAATGCCCACATAATATCAATATTACCCTTATATAAATATTCATCACCACTGGCAACCACTGCTGCCATGACCACATAATATTGATAATGACCCCCATCAATCTCCAACTCATCATTTTTACCATGAAATCCCTAAACTACTAACTCTGCACAGTATGTGGACCAAGATTAGCTCTATGCCAATGAAGATCTTTAACAACTTTTATATACTTTTTGCTATTTTAATTGAAGATATAATTGAAGTAAATAAAAAAAAAAAATCAAATCTGAAGAAAAGATGTTAGGTGCATTCAACAACGTTGGTTTTTTGTAGTGATTGAAAAAAATCTACATGAAACTGATTATAAGGGACTGTTTGATGGACTTGATTGCCGCGGAAGCAAGTTGGTGAAATGGGAGGAAGTGAAAGGGTGAGATTCAGGAACATGGTGGTTATGAGAGATGAGAATTGCAGAAGATCTGAAGTTTCATGCTTGATAAGGAGAACTAAACCTCCAGCCTATGTTAAATCAACGGCAAAAGATGATTCAATGGGTTCAACAAACTTGCATTCCTCATTTTGACTACATGGAAATTTATAATTTGATGAATTAAGGAATTTTAAACAATGAGATGAGTCAGCAGCAAAAGGGAAAGCAAAAAAAATAACATGCAATGATTTCTCACAAATTGGATGCCAAGTGGCTATATGTCCTTTCTGATCACAGTTACAGCAAAGATGCATGGCTTGCTAGGATAAAGAGGGCACACATTTCCTTCTTAATCACTATCTCCAATATTTTCTGAATTATGTGTTTATTTGTCCATTCAATAGACAAGAAGATGAAATGCAATAATAAAAATTGATGCAACAAAAATTGTGATGGACATACTTTCCTCAGTAAAGTCGAGATGCCCAAGTCATGGAATCAAAAGTATATTAAGGGTTGTGCAAAAATTAATATGATGCAATTACAATATCATGACCTTATGAGTGTAACATATAGAGCAAGAGCCATATGTTATAGCTTAGTTGTAGACAAGATTTTATAATTTAGCGAATTGATGAAATTATATGTTGTTCATGACAGAAACTGCAACAAGACTAGAGAAGTAATATCATTGTAGCTTTACGACAATATTTTGACAGGTTAACTTTTATATGTTGTTCATATAAGATTTGGAATTTATATGATCTTAATAACTCCAAATTATTAAAATTGAATAACCAGGGCAGAAGTAAAATGGCAAACAACTCACATTGGCAGGATTCATGGAAGGCCCAGTGTAAGTAGAACCTGAAACAACCAATACAACAGTTGCCACAGCAAGCAACCATATCTTCACGATACCGTTACGAGGACCCTTGAGAATGATTACAAGCACAGCAAAGGTAATTAGAAAAGTCAACACCCCCTCAGCAATGGCTCCGGTATGCAAATCAACTTTCAAAGAAGGCCCTCCAAGCATGTGCTTGTACTTTGGTGGGACCACCTCCAGGATCGCCATTGCACCACCCACAGCACCCGCTGCCTGTCAAAGTAAAAACTTTATATTTACATCCAACACTCTTGTCTCATTGTCTATACATTACTTCTGGGTTCTTTTAGTGAATGAGTCCTTCTAAATCTTTAGGCATTTAAAGTAAGATTTGTTTCACAGTTAACACCCTCCTTTTCCCACGAAAAGGTCTTCCTTTTTCCGGAGAAAAATTCTTTGATAGTTTCAGCGTTAATTGTATATCTATAGTTCTAATCCCAATTAAAACTACCTTTATATATGAAAAAATTCAACAAAAAGTGGCAACAACAAACTACTGCAATGTAGATCCAATAAAAAATTCTGTCCACAAAAATTTCTTAAATAGACCACAAAGAATATGATTAAAACATAAAAATTCGACTAAATTTATCTTTACAAAAAGATAATAATTTACAATTCATATTCCTCAATAATATGACTTTAAATCATAAAACTAGGAACCAAAAACTAAAGATGTGTTAAAATAAAAACCTGGGCAGGGAAGCGGAGAGCCATAGAGAGCAGAGAATCACCGCCGACACCGGCAGCGTAAAAGGCGGCGGTACCAGTAGGATTGAAGCTAGCCCCACCAAGAAAATCACCAATCAAACTAAAAACGAAAACGAAAACAAAAACAATGAAGGTGGTGATTAACAAGGAGGGCCAAACGAGGTTTTGCACACCCAAAACAGTGGCTATCTCGGAGGTCAAAACACCAAACGTCGACGCACAAAACACCCACAAGAAGGTCAACAAGAAATCGCCTACAGAGGCCTTAATCGGACCCATTGCCTCGGTTCGGTTTCTTTAGGGTCGAGTGGGTGGTGAAGACTTAAGAGAAGGTTGAGGGTTGAGGAGTCGTGTATAGTGGGTGACTCTTGACTGGGTGTTTTGGGTGTGATTTACCTAACTATTCGAAGGTGAAATGAAATCAAAGTGTTTGAGGTTTAAGTTAGATTAGTGGAAGAAGTGGTACTGGTGGTGGTGTCTGCTTAGGATTGGTTTTGTTGTTGTTGATTTAATGATTTTGATGTTTCTCTCTCTCTCTCTCTCTCTCTCTTTCGCTGTCACCAATCACCATCCACCAAACAATCTCTAAGCCTTGCTTTCAGCTTTGTACTATCAAGAGCCCAACTTATTAACCAAATAATATTTCCTAAAATAAATTTATTATTTTTTATAAATAATTAACTAATATGGTTAATAAATATAATAACAAAATTTATATATAATAGTTCGGTAGAGATCCTTCGATTTATAAATTAGGAATGATACGTATAAGGTAAATTCAAATAAAAATATAAAATATGGATATCATGATATCCTAGGATCGAATTTATTTATTTTTGTTTATGAAGTTATGAATAATCAAATTTATTTTGTTTATGGTTACACATTAATATCTTATTTTAAGGGATAATCACGTATCAAAATCCCAATTAAATTATAGAATTTGAGTTAGAGATGGAATCCACTAATTATTCCTTACTGGGAAAATAACATGTTGGTCCTTAAAGATTTGTAATAAGATAAAAAATAAATAAATGATGAGAAAAAGAAAATAACGAAATTTTATTATTAATTATTTCACCGAAAAGTAAATATCACCGAAAAGTTTTTTAAAAAATATCTTTTTTTTTTAAAGAAGAAAAAGTTGTGACAAGCTGCAAGCTTTAATTGGCTTCATGTTATTGGCTATTTCTTCTCCCCTGTCATGTCAACACATTTTTGAAAAAAATATAGTCACATGATTGCACGTGCGAGAGGTATTATTAAAAATAAAATAATATAAAAAGTAAATAATAATACCATATATATATATATATACATTACTTTATTTTTATTTTTTACTTGTATTGTGGAATTGTATGCGTTGTATTAATCAATATTATTTATTTAAGATGTAGAATATACTTAAAGCCTTATATATTGAAGATGGAAGCTCAAATAATGTTTAAGATGATTAAGGAGATTCTTAATAGTTAGTAAATTCAAATGTGGATGCTTATTTGGCCTTTTAATTAAGGTTTTAGTAAGGGTTATCATTAATAGGATGAATTTGATTAACTATTAATGTCGTAGAAATTTGTTTACGGCATGCAGTAGATAACTAGTTTCAAGATTTTTTAAATATATTTACAAATGGAGATTTTTTTATGACAAATATCTCATTTTGTATCCACCCAATATGATAATTAATAATAATATTAGATTAGTGTTAGTTATGCCTACATCTATGGTTGTTGTTAATTTTACTTATGATAAATATAAAANTTTAAATATATTTACAAATGGAGATTTTTTTATGACAAATATCTCATTTTGTATCCACCCAATATGATAATTAATAATAATATTAGATTAGTGTTAGTTATGCCTACATCTATGGTTGTTGTTAATTTTACTTATGATAAATATAAAATTTTTCAAAAAAAAAAAAAAACGTAATATACATCAAATTCACTTTTTACAAGTGTCACGTGGACGACTAACAATTACGCTGAGTAACCTTGCTCATAATATTAATATCTTAAGTTAGGATTTTAAATTTGAAACAATTGTTTGCATTTAGAAGAGTAATTTATTTAACGCTCTCAAGAGACAATTAAGTTTCAACTCCTAGGAGTTTTTGCGAATTGTTAAGGCTCCGTTTGGTACATATATTGGGAAAACTAGAATAGTTTTCCCAATAAAGTTAACACAAAATTTGTGTTCGGTTTACCTATTTTCAAAATACAATTCTAAATATTTAATTTCTTTTGAACCCCTTAAATTTATTAATTTAACTAAACAACCCCCATTTTTTTTTAAAAATTGACAAAAACACCCCAACAACCCAAATTTACCAGATTCTGGCCACCATTGCCGGAATCTGGTGTAATGGCACACTATCGGTTGAATCTGGCCGGTAGTGTGCCGATCTAGCCTTTTCCGGCCAGATCCACCGTGGATCAAGCCGGAAATGGCCAGATCTATGGCCGTTGATAGTCGTCAACGACGACCAAGATAGGGTTGTCGTTGACCATCAATAACGGCGGTATCTTTGGCTATCGTTGACGACTAAATGCGGCCAGATCTGGCTGTCAATGACAAGTAGATATGACCTTTTTTGGTCAGATCCACGCTGTCAACGACGACCAAGATAGGGTTGTCATTGACCATCAATAATAGCCGTATCTTTGGCCGTCGTTAAAGACCAAATGCGGCCAGATTTGGTTGTTAATGACCAGATTTATCCGTAGATCTGACATTTTTTGGTCAGATCCATGGTGGATTTGACCGAAAAAGGCCATATCGGTGCACGACCAGCAAGATCAGCCGGTCATGCGTCGATACGGCTACTCCGGCTACCCCTCGGCGGTGGTGGCCGGCTGTCCGTATTTAATGAGTGGGTTGAGGGTGTTTTTGTTAACTTTGAATATTTTATTATAGGGGTGTTTAGTAAATAAATAAACATATGGGTATTTTTGTTAATTTTCAAAATTCTACATCGTAATACCCACCTAATATAACTTTTTTCAAAATATATTCTAAAAACTACCCAATAATGAACCAAATGGAGCCTAAGTATCTCTGAAATTGAAATTACCAAAAGCTTCTATAAATATCGTAAAACACTTAAAAAAAAAAAAAAAAAATCTTAAAAATATATATAAAGAACCCAAGAGTGTATTTAATTCGAAATATTTAAACACATCAAAGATTACAGGAGAAATCAAGTGACACGTGTGAGTCAGTGGTTTGATATGGCTTCTATAATAAGAAGGAACGGATGCAGAGAAGTGCTGCCATTTGGCGAAATAAATAGCAGCTAAAATCATTTATTAAAAAGAAATTAGAAAAAAATAAAATAAAAGAGTTCACCAACGGGCATTGGTAAATATAGCCGTTGGGACTTGGGAGCTAGCAATAACGGCTAATTTTTCTCTCTATTCATTTGCGATTCTCTTCCATTTAAGTATCCCCTCACTCATCTCAAATTGTCAACAAAACAAATCACCACCTGAGCTTAAGTTTCATGCCTTTTACAAACCCCCACTTCAGATCTTCTTCCTCTTATCGATAACATATTTCCCTTTCGGCTCCTTAACATCAGCTGCTTGGTTTTTTTCACTTCATTGAAGAGGTATGTAAAACCCATTTCTTAATTTTCTTTTTTTTTTTGTTCATTTTTAATATTCTTATAGTTCAATCTTCATGTCGGAAGTTGAAGATATGTTTAATTTAGAACAAAAACGAAAAGGATTCCTTTTCAAAACCTCACTTGAGATCTTCTTTTTGTATTTGAAGACAAATCACCATCTGGGCTTAAATTTCATGCCTTTTTAAAAAAAACCCCAATTGTCGTTTTTGTTCATTGTTGTGTCTGTGAAGAGGTTACAGTGTTTTTGAGTGATACCAAGTCCATCAATTTGATTCGTTTTATCACTTTTAGTCTTGCAGTACACATTACAGAAGAGCTAATTTCAGGAGAGTGAAGAATCTAAGTTTTAAAGATGAATGATCTAATGACAAAGTCTTTCACGAGCTATGTTGACCTCAAGAAGGAGGCCATGAAAGATCTCGAAGCTGGTCCTGACTTTGATGTGGAAATGGCATCCTCAGCAAACACTATGGACCAAAACCTCAACCTTTTCCTGGAAGAAGCTGAGAATGTGAAGAAGGAAATGGGGGAAATCCGGGAAATTTTGGACAGACTCCAAGAAGCCAATGAGCAAAGCAAGTCCTTGCACAAGTCTGAGGCTCTTAAGTCTTTGCGCAATGAAATCAACAAAGATATTGTCACAGTGCTCAAAAGGGCCAAAACAATCAGGTCTCATCTTGAAGACATGGACCGCGCCAACGCTGCTAACAAGCGCCTCTCAGGCTGCAAAGAAGGAACCCCACTTTACAGGACTAGGATTGCGGTTACTAATGGCTTGCGGAAGAAGTTGAAGGAGCTAATGATGGACTTTCAAGGGCTGAGGCAGAAAACGATGACTGAATACAAAGAGACAGTTGGGAGAAGGTACTTTACTGTGACTGGAGAGTACCCAAATGAGGATGTTATAGAGAAAATAATTTCTGATGGTAGTAATGGCGGCGAGGAGTTTTTGACACGCGCAATACAAGAGCATGGGAGGGGTAAGGTGTTGGAGACCGTGGTGGAGATTCAAGACAGGCATGACGCGGCGAAAGAGATTGAGAAGAGTTTGTTGGAGCTGCACCAAATCTTCTTGGACATGGCTGTAATGGTGGAGGCACAGGGTGAGCAGATGGATGATATTCAGCACCATGTGATGAATGCTTCACATTATGTCAAGGATGGTACCAAAGAGCTCAAGACTGCAAAGAACTACCAGAAGAGCAGCAGAAAGTGGATGTGTGTGGGTGTGATTCTTCTGTTGTTGATCATTCTATTGATTATCATCCCTGTTGCCACTAGCTTTAGCAGTTCTTGAATTTTAAGGCTCTATAGAGGATTTAATGCCCTGTTAAAAATGTATGGTTTGGGTGTAAGTAAGAAGCCTCAAAGTCTGTATGCTGGGACTGGGTTGTCTTAGACTTAATATTTTCTTATTCTTTTATTGATTGCATTTTGAATACAGTGTCTTGATTACAAAATTTTCTTATTCTTTACTGGTCTCTTCTTCTCTCATGGTTTGGAGAACAAAGATGTCTACCAATCATAATATTCTTATAAATTTATCAAAAAACTTAAAAGAATGTGAATATATAGCAGAAAAGGAGGTCATCAAACAAATAGTGACGAATAAAAAGAAATGCAACTAGAAAGAATTAAATCAGAGATTTCATCTTCTGCAAACTGGAAATAAAATGTGAGAGCTGTACAATTTCCAAAAAAATAGTAAACATATGGTGTTAATTACTTGAAAACTCTATCTTAGTTATTCAACTTTATCGTAGCTTCCTAATTGGCAATGCTCGTCTGAAGAGATTTTCCACCTGGTTCGCTTCCATTTCTAGTTGGTTCAATAGATCCTTCTCCTCTTTACTTAGTTCTCTTAGGAAATTTTCCTCGTCTTGTTGAAGCTCTTTGAACCCTTCTGCTAACCTCTCAAACAAAGTCATTTCAGTTTTCTCTACCTGACCTTCTATCTCTTCAACCTCTCTTATGATGGTTTTCTCCCCTTCTTCAACTGTTTTTTCCAGTCTTTCCACTAAGGGAGGCTCTGGTCCACAAGTATTATCGGTTCTGATAAACTTGTTAAAGTCTCTTCCTACACTTTTGGCCGCCTTTTCAAGTTCAGGTACAATGGTTTCAGGCAAAACTGAACTTCTTGTGTACACAACAGCACCACCATATCCATCCCATGCATCATTGCTGCCTCTGTAGTACACAAATACGTAGTCATCTGGATTATTCTCTATCTTGGATGACAATATATACCTGCACTTGTAATGCAGAAAGATGGATAAGCTTTTCATCAGACAATAAGTATTTTTGACTGTTTAATGTAGCAAATGATTATTTCAAAGCAAATTAAAAATTCACGTCCACTGGATGTACAGGTTAATTACATGTTCTTCTCTGCATTTGAAGAGTGATGTCATGATGAGTAGTACGAATAATTACAATGAAAATTTTATAGCATCAACTGTTTTCATTTGCATATACAACTGAAAATGAGTTGCAACAATCGAAAATGAGTAACATCTTGCACTTGTTTTTTAAATGATCTAGGAGTACTCCAGTCCAAATGCTATTAGTTTGGTCTAGCACAGTACAAATTGCCCATCAAATGATGTGTGAAGGGGTCGAGCTGCAAACTTGTGAATCATTCAGAAACATTTATATGCCTTAATTAATCCTCAAGCTATCTGTCACTGTTTGCTATAAATTCTTAGCTAATAGCCCTTAACTTTTACAATATTGATGGGCTAAATAGGATGCTTGCACCAACCTTCAGTTGGAGCTCTCAAACGTAGTTTCTTTACTGCTAAATATTTGCTGAAACCATGATATCTTGTGCAGAAATAGGAGGAAGCAAAGTAATAAAAATAGAACATGCACAGGCAAACACCAGTCTACATGCATTTATGTATATATGTCACAAACTAGCTAAAAACAGGTACACAGAACAAAAGGAAGAAGAAATGATGCAAATTGAAGACCAGAGAATTTGGTTCAAAAAAAAAAAAAATTTTAGTGTTTGCGAATGAAATTTTTAGTGTTTGCTTTTCTTTTTGATGTAGATCATGAACTAAGATAAATTATTAAGGAAATATAGTATTATTCATTTTCTGCTTATGGCCTTTTATATTTGTCTAATGAATTTTAATTTATTACAGCGCGACCAACCGTGATCAAATGCTTGTATTTGATAAAACTATGAAACAATTATTTGTAGTGATATTTCTGTTTCACTAATCCGCCTCTATTTCTCATCCAATGGTAAAGGGGCTAGTGCAATAAATACGGGGAAAAAAATCTGTCACATATCCATATGCCATGAATCATATTACCAGACAGTAATAAAGATTATTGTGTTCAACATGAATGAACAATGTCAATATGATTGATATCACATAACGATGCAGAGATTTTTGATAAGTGGCATGCAGCAACTATGTGGAAATTTTTCACAGGTACTAACATAATCCATATGTGGAATTACATATGTAGTTTGACTGGTTCATAAGCTAAGCAAAAACAACATTCAAGCTTATTAAAGTGGAGATAATTAGTTTTCATCTTGTCACTCAGCAGTACTGATAGTGCAAACCACATGCAAAGGAGACTGCAAACAAGCATTAGAATGAGGAAAAAGACTGTACCAGTCATCTTGATAGTGAAGATATTCATTGTCATGATTATAGAGTATCCCAGGATGAACTGGATCTTGAACAAATCTCTGCTCAGCTGATCGAGCAATAAAACCACCATCTGGAGTTCGTATTCTCCAAGATAATTTTCCAACAAGTTTGTTGGATTCTGTATGGAATTCATGCAACTGGCAATCAAAAGTATCAAAGGAGGGATTTAAGCCACTAGAAATGAACCACTTCCCACTGAAATCTGCCATGTTAAAGTTTTTAACGAGAACAGAAGGGTCAGGCACAGGAAATTCTCCTACATCAGATTTCTTAGGAACACACTTCTTTCTTGAGACTGCACACTCATTGAATTCATCCACAACACTATTTTCAAACAGGTCTCCACATTTAATCTGCAAAAGTNCTGCAAAAAAAACTTTTGCAAAACATCAAGGCAGAGGTATTATATGGCTCTGATACCAACTGTAAGACATTTCATCTGTAATCTAAACAGAAATACAAAGAATATAATATTCTTAAACTATAAACTAGGAATCAAGAATTACCTCCCGCCATTGAAGCAAACTCATGAGCAGTATTTTGGATCTTCTAAGCTCTCAAGACACTCTATTGATGGTGTATTTTTCTGTATATTCGTGTTCTTGAGCTTAGGGACCAAAATAATATATTCATAACCAAGCTTCCATCAAGCTTTTAATGGCTGCTTAATGGCTGCCATAAATCCCAAACGTTTGAAAACTGAACAAAGAATGTGGACCATCAACTTTAAAACTGATGAAAATCACGTTATTTACGTTACTCATGTAACGTAAGTTTTACATGTTTTACAAGCAAAAATCTAGCCTCCTGCTTATTGATTAATTCGGTGTTTGATTCATTTATTTTTTGTACTGGAGATGTTTATGAGCATTCATAATTTTTTTTCTTTGGAATTTTCTTTGGAAGATATAGTTTGTCAAAATTAGTGGGATTCATTTTAACTTTGTTATCAATATTTTATGGGTACCTAAGATTGAAATCATTTTACGAAGAAGGTGAACGAGAGATGATGACTCAACAGATCTCAGACTTACAGAATAAGGTCCAAAATTATTTTATGAAACTTTTGAACTTTGTTGAATTATGTTAATTTTGGAATTTATATGTATCTGCTGATCATATATGCAGCTGCTAGAAGCACTAGATTGGAAATTTATGCATGAATCGGATTCTTCTACAGTTAAGGTACTTTCCTCGCTTTGTTTCGATATTCACATCAAGCTAATTTAATGTGCCTTTTTTGTAAATTTTATTCCTGTTCGTCTATTTTCTAGAAAGGAAATTCAGATTTGGTAACAGAGGTTTGTGCCAAGGATGATTTACTGATCCCTGGCCAGGTAAATTTCAGATGTGTTTTTCCAGTATGGCTAGCTTCCTTTATGAATTTGCATTTTTTTCAATTGAAAGTATGGAATTGACATAATGAAACTTAAATTTTAACAACCAAAAGCTACTTTGCCACAATTAGTTGTTAGTGTTACGCGATTTTCCTAGACAAATTCTCTCCTTGTGATTCATAATTTAAATCTAACTAGTTGTTTCATGCAAACTTTTAAATTCGTTATACCCTCTTTTTCTTGTTTTTTCAAATCTCAGCATCCTTGTTCTCCTATTCATTCTAAGTACTACTTTTGCTGTGACTTCAAGCTGTCAACAATCTTTTCCTATTTTACACATTAATATACTTCTATTCTACCATTTTATAGTATCTTTAACTTCTTTGGGGTTTGTTGTAAATGAGTTATCAGTAACAGCTGGTATTTACAACTAGGATTATGCCTTCTTGAGTTATTTTAGGCTTAAACAATATAAATTCCCTATATTTCAACAATTTTGTAAGATCCAAGCCATAATCAAAATTTAAAAAGGATGCAGAAAATTAAAAGAATTAGCGCAAGGGCTTGATGTAGGATGTGTTAAGAGGCCAAGCACCTACAAGAAAAAAACTATATAATTATAGAGTTATGGGGAAATTCCTTTGAGTAGCCGAGTGGTTTGATTGAGACTTTTGAGTGTATTACTTAAGAGGTCTTGAGTTTGAATCACTTCTCACAGTTGCTAATAGGAGTAGCTAATAAAGCTCTTACTCAACCGGTAGTTCCAAGGTTCCGAGAGATTAGTTGAAAAGCGCGTAAGCTGATCCTGACATCTCGATCAACAAAAAAAAAAAAAAAAAAAAAAAAAATTATAGAGTTACGAGGTTTGCTATTTGACTTCGATTTGGTGCATGTAAATTTGATCATCTTAGATTGTCCATATCTATTTTGTTTGAAATAGGTTGTTTTTTTTAAGTGTTTCCGTTATGAAAATTATTCTTAATCTTCCTAAAGTCATATACACGAAATTGCATAAGAAACAATAAAGGAAATAAAGAGATAAACTAAAAAATATAATTATAATTGTTTAAGACTATATATATATATATATAATATGATTTTATATTTCTACATATTACAAATACTTTTTTCAGAAAAACATAAGTAATACATTTTCACTTTCACAATTTCAAAATATTAGTTTTAGACAAAGATGTGAATAAATTTTTTATTTTCTAAATATTTATCATTTAAATAAACTATTTACAATATTTACAAAAAATACAAAACAACATGTAAAATTGTATCATCTTAGAAATAGGTCCATATCTATTTTGTTTGAAATAGGTTGTTTTTTTTAAGTGTTTCCGTTATGAAAATTATTCTTAATCTTCCTAAAGTCATATACACGAAATTGCATAAGAAACAATAAAGGAAATAAAGAGATAAACTAAAAAATATAATTATAATTGTTTAAGACTATATATATATATATATAATATGATTTTATATTTCTACATATTACAAATACTTTTTTCAGAAAAACATAAGTAATACATTTTCACTTTCACAATTTCAAAATATTAGTTTTAGACAAAGATGTGAATAAATTTTTTATTTTCTAAATATTTATCATTTAAATCAACTATTTACAATATTTACAAAAAGTACAAAACAAATTCATAAATAACACACCTTTAAATTTCACCAATTATTTTGGTGGACTCGAGAAGGGCGAACTACGAGATGCAGAAATGCTTCGGAAGCGCATCGATCACTTGTGTAACAACACCGATGCTCCGGAAGCACACCGATCACTTGCGTAACAACATCGACCTCCTGAGCGTCTCCCTTCTTGATCATCGCCAGCCGTGCGTTCACACGAGACATAACCCGGGCTCGGTGATCACTAGCACACGGGAAACCATTCTCCTCCTCCTCTTAGAGGAAATAATCCCTCCGCTAACCACTGGCATCGTCGCCTCCATCTTCTGAGGGTGCAAGAGACATATAATAAGGAGATAAAGCCTGTCTGGTGTCTTCTTGCCTTCGATGCACAGACGAAGGACCAGCTCCACCGCCACAAACGGTACCATAGCAGAATGAACCAGTCCGAGCATCTCTTGATGGTATTGAAGTCATCTTAGGGACCTCATTATCCGAAGAGTCAGCATTCTTGCCATGATAACTGCCGACATATGAAAATTTTAGAGTAGGGAAGAAGAACAAAAGGAAAACCCGAAGTTGGGACGATAGGCAGCCACTCTACGAATTCAAAACAAAGCAAAAAGTGACAACAACACTCCCTCAATAAGCAAGTACATGTTTTGAGAGCATCAACAGCACCAGTTGATGGAATAATAAAAAACATGCACGCTAATACACCAGCCACTTCATCAACTGTAACCGGCTCCATTCATTCATAGAATTTGACAGAACTTGTACCATAAATTCAAATGCCTCTTTTGCCTACATGAAAATCGAACAAATAATAAAATAGAAAACAAGAAAATGTAGAATGAAAAGGAATAATAAAATAACCTTTATGATTATTAAGGAACTAAGGAGGAAGAAATCAAAAGTAAATAATATTTAAGAGCCACCTCAGGCATTCTTGCATTATTTCTTGACATTGAAGAAACTCTGTCTCTTCTGCCTAAGAGCAGACATGAACATCTTGAGCCCAGGTCATAAGTATAAGACCTTATCAACTGGGAGTGTATCGACTTTCTGCTACTGGACCAAATTTTCACCACAACTTTGCCACGAAAATAGACCAACCTCTTCTTTAAAAGCCTTTCTTTAATTATAAGTCCAGATCTGCTACACGGTTCACTGATACTTTCATTACAGGGAAAACAGATGGTATGTGTAGCAAATGCCATAATGTGGTGGGAGCTCTAATTGCAACCTGAATGCCATTGAGATATCTTAATCAACCAAGACTAATTCAGTATATTATAACATATAATACTTCTTTCAACTAAACCCAACTTATAACTCAACAAAAAGTGACCCAAAAAGCATTGTAGCCAAGATATACCAGATTACTCAACAATATTGCAAATTATATATATCAATGAATATACTTCAGAACCCATATAAATTCAAATAGTAATAAAAACCGTGGCATTTATGCAATTCACTATCACACAAAATACTGAAAAGCATCAATCTTTTACAAGTATCCATGAGCAGACAATCAATGCTCAAGTTCTGAAATGAGCTTCTAGTTCCAGAAATTATTGTAGTCAAAAGCATTAATCAATAGTTCTGCACAAATTGGTTTTACAAAGCATTGTTTTCCAAAAGAAGTTCCAGCATTTGATGGAACCAAGGATTGATTCAATTGACGAACAAAACCGATCCATGGAGCTATAAACCACAAAAAAAAAAAAAAAAAAAAAAAAAAACACTGCAGTTAATTGAAACAATCACAAACCCAGAAAACAAGTTCAAACATTGCATTGGTGGGTGATATTCGGTAGGGATGATAGGGGTTTTTGTCAGGGGAGGTCGGTCGGGGTGGATTTCCGATGCTGAAATGGACCGAAAATTGGTTTGAAGAGTGCGAACCCTAGATGAGCGACGACCGGCGATTGGTGGGTGATCTTCAGTGAGGATGATAGGGGTTTTGGTCAAGGGAGGTTGGTGAAGTGAAAGGTGGTGCCGGAGTGGTGGCTGGCGATTTAAGGGAGAAGGAATTAGGGCACAAATGGTTTTTTGGGTAAAAAATACATAAGTGGGAATTTTTTTTGGGAATTTCTTTTTTTTTAAAATTATCTGACATGGCAGATGAATTGACATCACCATGTCAGACACCATGTTATGTTGTAGGTTGGTTAGTAAAAATCAGTAGTATGCATAGTATTTTTGTTTTCCATCCATTGATTAGATCTATTAGTAAATTCCATTATAAAGAAGGGTTAGATGATAAAAAATCCTCTTTGAAGAAGAATAGGAGAGTCAATTTACATGTAGCCACAAAAATCAAAATTTAAAATTTGAAATCCGTCAGTGTAGTGATAGAATGGTTGCCATGTGTCCCACCAAAGTTGACTTTAGAAAAAAAAGGGGAAACCAAGTCATTTATCTTCTGGGTTTATTCGGAGCGACGAGGGGCAACTGTTTACAGCTACCGGCGAGTGGCGACTGTTTACAACTACCGGCGAGTGGCAACTTCGACTGGCAACTGTTTACAGCTACCGACGAGTGGCGACTGTCGGCGACTAGCAAAAAAAAAAAAGGGATTAAAAGCATTAGCTCGCGATTGTTTAGGAGGACTGAGAAAAAAATAGGGTTTCTAAGCAGCGGCTGGCGATCGGTTAACCGGAAGGACGACGACTGAAGGAACACTGCAGCAATGGACGACTGAAGGCTGTTTAGGGTAAGGGTTCAACTGTTTACGCTATAGGTAACCTTCTTCTTGTGTTCTTTTCGTTTTAGGTTAAAAATAAAAAACTAACTCATATTTGATGTAATTATTTTATGTATTAATTGATATTTTTGTGCTTTTGATTTTGCTAGTTTGTTGAAATAAGAGACAATTGGTACTGTGTTGGGACTCTCATTCGAGGTTAATGGTTACAAAAAATGGGTTAAAGGATTATGCAATTCAAGAGGGCTTTGCATTAAGGAAGTTCAATTCGGAAACTTTCTCATTCGTATTTGTTTCTCAAGAAAATTATTTAAATTCCATGTGTTGAATTGATAAAAGCAAACGAAATTGGCGTAAGATGAGAATCAGAGATCGGAAAATATGCTTGGGGTTTTGCTTCAGCAATTGGTGGTGCGTTTCTTACTATTTTGACTTCTATAATTGAGATTCAGCATTTTACTAGCTTTAGTGTTTGTTATTTTTCACTTTAAAAAGTGTTGGTTTCAAATTGATTTTTGTGCTGCTGACAAGCACTCTTGAATGTTGTAAAAAGTGGTGGTTTTAAAGCATTCTTGAATCTTTGTTAATTTGTTTATTTGAAACGAATTTGGCACAAGATGATATTCCTAACGAATTAGAAAAAATGATTTTGGTTCAGGAATTGGTGGTACATTCCTAACGATGACCTCAGGAACTGAGGTTTGGCATTTTTCTAGCTTGTGTGTTTGTTAATTTTCACTGAAGAAGTGATCCCTGAGAATTGTTGATGTTAAAATTATTACTTGAGGTGCTCTTTTGATTCCTGAAGCTTTTTATAATGCTGAAAGCACTCTGAAATGTCTAGTTTGTTTGTTTGTTTATTTGAAACAAAACTGGTACAATATGAGAACCAATTGTTAAAATGGATGCTTGGACTACTCATTTAACTCCTGAAACCACCTAAATGATGCCAAATGTTTTTTTTGTTGGTTTACTTAAGAGATTGGTATGTTGGTACAATCTTCTGCATTGGACTCAGGAGAGCCATTAATGCAGTATGGACAATCAATTGATGACAGGGAAATTAGGCAGGCTCAAATTCCACAGCTTCTCGGTCAGGAAATGCTTTTGTTGTTAATTTGCTGCCTTACAGTTTATATATGTAATTCTTTGATTAGGCAATGTTGGACAATGTGTGACACAAGTGCAATGTAAAGGAAGAAATTGGATTCGCTTTGCAAGAAAGTCATTGGTGTAGCATTGTTTGTGATTGATAATATACTTGTGATGCATTGGTTATTGTATATTTATTGCAAATTCATGCAAAATGACACTTTTATGTACATGTTGTTATGACTGAAACCAGTCCTAAGAAATTAAGAGAAAAAGAGAGTAGAAGGGAAGAAGAAAGGAAGAGAAAGAGAAGGGAAGGAAAATAGAGAGGGAAAGTCTGGAGGGAAAGTCTGGAGAGTTTTTGTATTAATTCATCGATAATCCCTCCTTACAATTATTGAGTATATATGGTGGTTTGTTAGTGACCATCTCTGTAATAACTACTTTCTACTCAAATACTCATAAAAATATACATAATAAAATACATGTATAATAACATAAGTAGTTGGGTCCAAAATTTTCTTTTATTAAACATATACATTCTTTATACAAAATTAGTATCATAAACAAAAACTATCAAAAACTATGTAAACAGTGTAGCCATTCCTCCTTGCGTGTCGACATCCATCCGACCGTGTCCTCACTTAAATCATGCAAAAAAATAGAAAGACAACGGGGTGAGCACCAATAATGCTTAGTAAGTAAACCCTCTAGTCATCTGTCCCCGTAACTCTCTCTCTCTAAGTCTTTCCTTACAATTCTCATTTACTCTCTTTTATACTTCTCTCTGTTTTCTCTTTCTGTTTCTCTTTCTTAGAACTCTTTTCTACTAACTCTCTTTAGTAAGTCACGGCTCCATTTTACCGGAGGCACGGCCGGGACTCGCTCCCGCTCTCCGTGACTTCTACTCGTTCTTAGCCGATCAGACTCGATTATGCATGGATTCGGAACCCTTGGCCATGTGAGTATATAATCTCTCTCTCGGGTACTCTCGGGTATAGCCCTCATCCGCATGCACTCTCACGGGCTACACCACTTCTCTCTCTCATACTCATGCCGCTCTCTCAATGCGGCGTACATACGGGAATACTCTACCCATTACTCACGGGTTCCCCATCGCACAACCTATTCTATTCTCTTTTTCTCTCTTTTCTCTTAATAAAGCTCACACTCAAAGTTCTCTACTCTTTTTGTACTATTTCTCTAATGCATAATTAATGCATATGGATGATTCATGCTCATTAATGCACTCATGAAATGCACAAATGCAATGTTGTATCAAGATAGTTATTATACACAGGTTACACCCAAAAAGGCATAACTTGAGTTATACATATCGGATTGCTACGATTTTGGTCTCGTTTTAAAGCTTAGAGACAGAGCTCAAACTTTTATGTTTTGGTCTCAACCCACTTAAATCTGTAAGATGCCAAAAATCACTCAAAAGGTCACGGCTGTGACAGGGCAGTTTTCACTTAGGCATTTCATCAAACAATAAATGTGCAAACATAAATACTATTTTAGCTATAACTCTTCTTCTTTCTTTAACCATCCAAAATGGGAGTAAAGCTCCCTTTTATCATCACAAAACCTGTCAAGGAAAAACACTCCCAAAAGTTTACTCAAACTTCTTTCAACTTCAATCAAACTTCAACCCATCATCATACAATCAAAAGAACTTATGATATATCCAAGAACAAGCATAATTCATCATCAATCTCATCTCAATTTCTCAATAATCATAACACATACATAATTAAAAGAAATCTCTACTCACTTGATTTTCTTAAATCTTAATTTGGTTGGATTTACTTACCTTGAATTTGAGTAACTCCAACACTATAATCTCTCTTTGATAGAATTCCCTTTCCTTTTAAACCCTAAGCATATAAAACCATAAGAATTCAAAACTTTAAAATTTAATCTCACATCTTGATGCAAGAATCTTACCTTTGGATGCTTAGGATTGAAAATCCACTCAAAAATACCCAAAATCTATGAATTTCCTTGGAAATCTAGTGAAGAAATTTGAGAGAATTTGAGTAGAGAATGGCATGAATGGAGGGATAGAGTGGCTAGGGTTTCTACTCTTGAACTCTTATTACATAATAATATATATATTAGTTTCCCATTTTGCCTTTGCTCTTTCTTGAAAATTTCATCTATGTCCCTTAGTCAATTACAATAATGCCCTCATTTTTATTACATTCTCCATGAAATTCTATCTCTTTTCACTCCCCAATTTTTCAACTAATTTTGAGTGAAAAGACCATTTTACCCCTAATGAAAGTTTAAGGGATTTTCTTCACATTTTTCTCAAAATAACTTTAGCAAAATTCAACTAAGGGCCAACCAACCAAAAATAACAACATGCAAGCTCAAATGAGAACAAATCAATAAACATTCAAGCAATGCAACAATAATTTAACTACATACC